AAATGATAGAAATGCGGTGGAGAATTTTAATTTTAATTTTGGTTAATACACGAGAAAGCAACACAGAGTACTGTTGTTTTAACGAGAGAACACGTGGTCAGTCGGTGAACACAACATTAAACGTACATCATTTTTTAACGGGTTACTTCTGGTGTCAAAGGACAAACTTCTATCATCCAGACATATTCTGGCTGAGCAAAGGCAAATTTGATAAGATTACTTTTTAAATCACTTCAGACCACTACATCATTGGTGTCCTGGAATGTGCAACCTTCACACCCGGAACCTCCGTAATTGTAACCATTAGCTTAACGGACACACGGGGAAATTTGATCGCCACGGCATCCCGCAATCATACCTTCGAAGGCGTAGAATACTTGAATGTGTTTTTTGACCAACCATATGGTCTAAAAGCTGGTCAGGATTATATCGCAGCTACTATGGTATATGTTCCTCCCTCTACTTATTCTCCTTTGTTAAAGTATGTTAATGCGGTAAATTTGACACAGTGTGGTCCTGGTAACATGACAGTCATCTTTTCTAGCGCCTCGAAACAAGAGATGGATGACTCGAACGGCTCAACAGTGGATGAAGGACGAGTACCAGCGCTGCTTCTCAAACCACTGTAATATTTCTCATAGGTTTCATAGCCGATTTCCTACATGTACTCATATCCTTGCTTGTTAGTCAAGTGGGCCGCATGTTTGTTGTTAAATATTTTATATGTCATACATAATCCCGTTATTTACCCTCGGTGGTATTTATAGCACTATTGCTATGGGCCGAGCAAATGCCTGAAACATTAATAACCCAAAATCAAACATAATGGCCTTAACAATCCCTCCCAATTGGCCGGAGGCAGACCATTTGGCTATTCACAAGCATGGCCTAGGACTTAAACTCGGGACCGTTATGGAGAACAAATCAAGCTAGTGGTCAGAGCCAGAGCGGGCCTGGAACTCGAGGCCTCCGAATTGCAAGTCTAGCGCTCTTACCACTCGGCCGAGCTGCCTCCTACTCGGTGGACCTTCGAGCTGGATGCAGCTAGAAATTTTCTGTGTGATTTTAGCTTTTAGTCATATTTCATGTTATCACTGTTACATTTTCTCTTTTTACTTCAAGGTAATCTAAGGTGGCTGAACACAGTTTCTCTCGAAATGCTTTAACCCTTTACTGTGTTTTTGTTAACACCTTCTGAGGAGCAACTGTGTTGCCAGTAAGCTTTTAAAGAGGAACGAGAAAAAAAAAGAAAAGAAAAGTGCGAGGACAAGCTGCGATTTATGCCCAGTAGTTGTTGATGTAAATTAATTTATTCCCCCGTTTTCTTCGCCTTTACCATATCGCGTGATCTCAGCTAGCGCACAGTTTTAACAAATGTGAGAGCGCGAACGTAAAGTCGTTTTGTTGGTTTTCATGAGCAATGTCAACAAATGACAATATTTTAAAATCCACTGACTAATATCTGACGAAATTTGGCAGAAATCCTGTTCATATCACACTTCAGACAATGAAAGTCTCAAAATAAACTTTTAACAAACAGAGTTTTGTGACATAATCAAGTTTTTCATGAGAGCAACAAAAAAAAAAACAGTTTGTTCCAATTTGACTCACTTGTTTTTGTAAAATGAAGCTTACTTATTGTAAGCAGTGCCGCGCAATTTCATAAAGACTGAGTGGGTTTTGCGCAAACATAATAAATTCAAAATTTAAAGCTTGTGTTCAATCATCCGTACTTGGAAGTGTACTTGGAACCTACTTTGAGTGTGAAGGGGTAAAATGTGTACCTTAACCTTACTTGGTGACCATGGAACATTCGTAGTTCAAAGATGCCGAAGTTCGCCGCCAAGTGTAGGCTACACCACACTTGAGAAATCACTTAACAAATAGGAAATGGAAGCCATGACTATGCACGATGTGCACGTGCAGGCGCGGTTTCAAGATTCTAATAAACGAAGAGATTGACAGCTTTTCTTTCAAGTAATATACTTCGTCAACAAGTGTGAAGCCGTGTTTTCTACAGAGCAACGTAGGACTTCCAAGGGCACTTGAATCAAGTGCTTAACTCCTGGTGTAAAGCCAAGTAATGGAAAAAGATCGAAATCTTTCGTTTAACCGTATTAACGTAAGGTCTTGTAGGAATATTTCGTTCGTGCCAAAATTGAGCTTTATACCTGCAACGAGTCTTAAATAACGCCCCAATGAATAGTAAGGAGCCACAACCTATCAAACTGTGTCCATCCACTAATATTGTAATCGGCAATTCCGTTGCGTGTGACCTTTTACATGAGCAGAGCCTTCTTAATCCCCTTTTCTCTGCGCACAATTAGGCACAATTATGGTAGGCGTTTTTGAGTATATATGATACATACCTAAAATTAATTTGCTTTTTATTTGTATTCAGAGTTCTTTGTGGTTTCATACCAGTGTCAACGTCATTTTTAGCAAAAATTTTAATTAAAAAATCATGAACAATAATAAGGGTCTCGTACTTGAGATGTAAAATAACTTGAAATAAAAATAGTTTTCAACAAGTCATATGCGGGAACCCTGAAGTAAGTCAGTCGACCACTTTCATTATTTGATAGTAACTGTTAACATACAGCTAGTTTGAGGAAGGTTGTCGGATAAAGTGCACGCGACAACCCCGAACGGTATTGTGGGTGGTTTGAATTCACTACCGTTTTTCAAAGAAATTTGAAGGATTGGTGAGTTGAGGCCTTGGACATATGTCTGCTAGTGCTAAAGGAAAGCAACAACAGTGTATTGAGCATACCCCACAGTACCTTTTGGGATTGTCGCCTGCAACATTTTTCGGACAACCTGTCTCGAAATAACTGTATATTAGCATAGTTTCGTGAACAAAGTCTGGATGTTTTGTAAACCATGTTAAGAATTTGTCAATAATAACATCACCAGTGATTCGATTCCCTTCCTAGCAAAAATAACTTTCTTTTGTAATTAAACGGTTTGTTGAAAACGAAGACGTGGCTCGTTTGAGTCATTCGTTTGTTTTAGAAATGAATTAACTAATGATTCAGGGTTTTGATTGTAAGATCAAATTAAAATTCACTTCCCCGGCTCATGTTTAAATGGACAGCATTTGCTACAGTGAGTACTAGATTCTATATAACATAGAAATAATACAGAAATGATTAAAACTCAAGACCTTTTGAAGTAAAGTGTTTTGTATTTTGTGAAAAACAGGAACAGGAATCAATACCGTATAGACGCAAATACTGACCCGTGACCTGGGCCAAAAGTTATTCTTATGTTATGACGTAGGAAGGAAATGCATTTTAATGGCGACATGCACACAGGGCCCCAAAAGATTGTAGGTTTCTTTTATGGAGTTGCCCGTCATTGTTAAGCATGTGAGTTAACCGTTTCACTTAATGTTGCTGCCAGACCAGATGTTATTTTGATGGCCACTTTGCAAGCGGCCGCCGAAACATTGCCAATCAGATTTGCACTGGCCCATGACAGAAATCATGATTGAACTGACTACGTAGACAATCATTGCGAGTAAAACGTTCACTCTGAGAATGAGTCTGCAAAGGACACCAGGGAGAAAATTTCCAGCTGCTCAAAGCAAATTGGCAACTTAAGCGAGGAAGCCGTTTCTTGGGGTTTACATATAACGCTCCTTACCAGCTGCATGACGTCACAAAGAAGGATGCGTAGGCCGACGGCAGCTAGGAAGTTCAATGTTTCATTGTCTGGGAGGAAGTTGCAAGCTAAACTAAAGCTTTCATAACAAATAATCTCATTTGACTTAGAATTAAGGCAAGGTTTATCAGAATAACCCAGCTAGCCTTGAACCTAGAAAAAAAAGATTTTGGCGAAAGAGTTTGGCGGCAGCTAGAAGGCAATTAATAAAGATTACACATTTGTCAGAGAACATAGTTAAGATTAGCTGGAAGTAAAAAATGACAGTTTTTAGTTTAAGGCGCTTAATTCTTTGGTTGGGTATTTTATTCTTTGCATAAACCTTTCATGGTGGTCTAAAAGCGACAACATAAAAAATATTTTCTTCTTACTGGGTAAACTAGGTCAAACCGCTATATTAATGTTGCAATGATTTCTTCTTGTCACTCCATGCATACTCGACGTAATACATGAAGAGGCTAAGTTCTTACTTGATGAACCGTATTCCGAATTGTTATCAAGAATAAATGGATTTAACTCTAGTTTTGCATTCATTGCATTACTATGCCTAGAATTCTCCTTGAAACAAAAAGTATTGCGAAATATAACTCCAAAAGTCAAGGAAGACTTGTGACAAAACTTGCGTATCCTTATTCCGTAATACGATCAATCGAAACCACCTTAGACGGATCTATTGTGTTCACCCACACCAAACCGCTTCCTTTGTTTATGTCCAGCCAGCTGAGTCAAGGACTTGTATAAGGAGGCCTACACATAAATACACTGATCTTATAGCTAAGTAGAGTTCACTGCGGACCAGAGGTGTCGTTGTCACTTGCACCACGAAATTGTTTCCTACCTTGCAACATGTCCGCCGAGGGGAAGACAGTGTTTGAAGCATCTGTTACCGGAACTTTTCCATCGAAGAATAATGGAACCGTCCCTGAGGTTTGTCGTTTCTCTGCTTTTGTGTGTTTAAATACCGTGTCTTCGCGAAACCCACGTCTGATGGCTTGATAAATGATTGGAAAGCTCTGAGGTAGAGTTCAGTAGAGTTAATGGTGCACTTGATCTCAACGTTAGCAATAAGGAAGTTTCTTTCTTTAAATGTAATAAAAAATAAGCGACAACATTGGAAGACCAACCGCTAAGTGACTAGCTTTTACGTGTAATACTGCAACTTGTATCTATTCTGTGGAAAACGAATGACAGAAAATGCATTTATTATAAAAAGTGAGAAGGTCAACACTTCTTGGTTCAAACTATATGAGTACTGACAGTATTCTGGCAAGCGTTATTGGTTTCTGTCTGGAACTGGACTTCATATCTTAATTTGTACATTTTCCCCCTAACAGGCATATAAAATCACAGTTCTGTACTCTGATGGGAGCAAAATGGCGCTACGGAAAACATATGAAGATTTCATTGAGTTGCAGGTACGTTTTAGTTGATCGAAGTGAGATACGAATTAACTAAATATTTCTAGTTTCCACTCCGAAATGTTCAAGTTGTATAGCGATACTCAGTGATGAAGGGCATTGTGTACCGGTGAGTTTATTGAAAATGACAATCAATATATAGTCTGTTTTTGTAAACAGCCTGACTGTTCGCCAGTTCGCATTCTTTCACTGGAGAGTATTGGACTTAACTGATCACCCTGGGTTTAGGTCCAATATTGGAAGGAAAGGCAGGCGTTAAGTCTGTAGGCAAATTTAAGAATCGTATTAAAATTACATTGATTGCATACTAATTTCACATGCATACAGTCTAAAATACATTTTCGTAAATCAAAATTGAAAACCAGGCGTAAGAAAACCCTTAAATGCGATACATCTTTTCGAAGAACACGACGCCAAACAGCAACGAGTAATGTCATCATAACTTCAATTATTCAATTCTCACAGTCGTATGTATTGTCAATACAGTCTATAGATGTCAGAGAATATCTGCAGAAAAGAAGAATTTAATGCGCGCATTAAAGTTTTATGAGTGCTTGCGAACTTGAACAGAGTTTGCTTCAAACGCTAAGACATTTAGATGTGTTACTCAAAAGCTCAACAAGCAAGAACTCTTGTGCTGGGACCACTTAACTGTGGATTCAATAGGCTCTTTGCATGACTGTGATCACGTGATCAACTTTCGGTAATCACGGAAACAATTCACTTTTGCAAAGATTTGTTAGCACAAATAGCAAATAGCATAAATAGCTGAAATAGCATATTAAAATTTTTAACCTGAGTATTTTAAGCCTTATATCTCAAGTGCTGCGATTGTAACGGCCGCCAAAAGTTAGAAGCATTTATATAAGAAAAACAACTTTTGCCACCCAGTCACGCTTGCATGGTTTTCTGTCCTTGTGGATTCTAAAATTTTTGAACTGTCGTTAAATCTTTCCCTTACGAATTCAAGGGCTCAAATTGCCTGTTATGAATTAAAAGGAGGTTTGAGCCTTGTAATGCTTAATAAAATATTTCATGACAGTTTTGAAAATGTCGAATTTAAGGATTTGTATGGGAAACCATGAAAGTGTGACTGGATGGCAAAAGTTGTTTTTCTTATACAAATGCTTGCAACTTTCAGCGGCCGTTGCAATCGCTACTTTTGAGACTAACGGCTGAAAATCCTCAGGTTACCTCGGTAATTTTGATATGCTCTTTACCCTTGTGCTTACAAAATTTTCCAAAAGTGAACTGTTTTCGTGCTTACCGAAAGTTGATCACGTGATCAAGTCATGAAAAGAGCCTATACACGTGCACGTGCCGTGCACCTGCATGTTACGTAACATGATGGCACACGTAACAACGTTTGGTATAATAATAATAACAATCTTTTAATAGGATGCTCCATCACAAGAGTGGTTTACATAGAGGTCCTAATTACGAGATGTATATTATATAATACAATTAAAATATAAAAAGGTTAAAAAAAAAAAAAAAAAAAAAAAAAAAAAAAAAATTCAAGCTAAAATCGAGTTACAGAAATAATTAAAACATACACACTACAAGTACTCAATTATAAAAAGCAGAAAAAAGACACTTCTTAAAAATTGGAAAACTTGCTGAGTTTCTTACAGTTCTCTCTAATTCATTAAAGTCTTTGAAACAGTGGTACCGCGAACGTTGTTTTCCCCAATTATATTTAATTTTGGGGAGCTTGATAGTATCGTTATTGCGCGTATTGTAGGAATGTATATCACTCTTTTTTTTACAATGTCCAAAGAATGATTAAGTTGGCCATTAATACACTTGTATGCATATATACATCGATGACATTTCCTACGTTCTTCAAGATTCAGCCATCTCAAGACAATCAATGCATCGGTGGATGAGGAGTGAGGTGATCTATCTAATATCAACTTAGCTGCTTTGTTTTGGAGAATTTGCAATTCCTTCATAAGTGAGACATTGTCCTTGTCACCCCAGACTAAATCAGCATAATCAAAAATAGGTAGCACTAAGCTATTATAAAAAAGTAACCGGGCTTCATAAGGTAAATAATACTTAATCCTACGTAGAAGACCAAGAAGGTTTTTATTAACCTTACATGAAATATACTCAATATGGTCGGACCATGTGAAAGTTGAAGACAACATAACTCCCAAATATTTAAAACTACTTACAGAATTTATATCAGTGTCAAAAATAGATAACGTGAAAGAGGAAATACCAACAAGTTTCCTATTACTGCCTATAATCATGGATTTCGTCTTAGTAAGATTTAAAGTTAACTTATTTCCATGTAACCACTGGGCAACTTTCAAGAGATCATCATTCAGTGCCTCTTCTAACAGGTGTGGCTCTTTAGCAAAGTAGTACAGGACCGTGTCATCAGCATACAAAGTCACTTCGCAATTCTTTATAACCAGCGGAAGGTCATTAATATAAACCAAGAAGAGAAGCGGTCCTAGAATGCTTCCCTGTGGCACCCCAAAGGTCATCGGGAGAGGGTCAGACACAGCATCGCTACAGGCAGTCCGCTGTTTACGATGATTCAGGTAAGACTTGAACCACTGTAGAGTGCTGGGCGAGACACCGATAGCCGACAATTTAGATAGCAAGATCGTATGGTCAACGGTATCGAATGCCTTGGTCAGATCTAGGAACACTACACCGCACAGTTCTCCACTCTCCATATGCAATAGGACCTCATCTGCAAAACTGGTGAGAGCCGATGTTGTAGACAGTTTGGGACGGAAGCCAAATTGCTTGCTTGAAAGGAGATTATTTGAATTCAGAAAGTCATAGAATTGGGAATGGACGACTTTTTCCAGAATTTTACTCATTGTTGGCAGAATAGAAATTGGGCGATAATTTGACGCATCTCTCCTATCTCCAGTTTTGAAAAGTGCAGCCACTTTCGAGCATTTCCATATTTCAGGAAAATTGCCAGTGCGAATAGAGAGATTCAGTAACTTGGTGATCGAGGGACAAATAGCACGCGCGCCACACTTTAAAAAAGTCTCGCACTGATGTTGTCCAAGCCAATAGCTTTATTTGTCTTTAGAGAAAGCAGATGCTTGAGTACTGTTTTCTCATCAACTTCGTCAAGCGAGAAAGACTGTAGCATCGTGGCCGATCTGACTGGGAACATAGCAGCAGCTGATATTTTATTTGCAAGACTTCTGCCAATGGATGAGAAATAACAGTTGAGCACGGATGCAATAGAGGCTGGGGTGGTGTGTTCAACACCATCAACTACAATACATTGTGGGCTCGAGGATTTAGTCTTGCGCGAAGACACCTCATTCACCGCCTTCCAGATCTTTCCTGAATCCCCTTTAGCCTCTAAAATCAAGTCACAATAATACTTGGATTTTGCTGCCTTGACTTCACGATTGACCCTATTTCTTAACTTTCTATAGCGAGCCCAGTGAAAAGCAGAATTGGTTTTCACGGCTTTACGATGGTGAAAATCACGATCCTTCATCACCTCACTGATTGTATCATTCAACCACGGGAGCGGAACACCTCGTATTCTTCGCCTTTTCACGGGCGCATGCAGGTCAGCTATTTCAGAAAACAAGTGATTCCAAATAAACACGGCGTCGTCGATGTCTTCCTCGTTTTCAATGATGTGCCATGGGACGTTATTCAAGTCCGCTAGGAAGGTGTTCGCATCAAAGTTTTTATAAGAGCGGTATTCAATTGTCTTCGGTGGTGCCTTAATTACACCTGCTTTTAAAACACAATAGACGAGGTAGTGATCACTCAGCGAAACAGGAACAACACCGGAGTCATTGATGCGGTGATCATTGTTCACTAAAATCACGTCAAGCAAGGATTGACAGGTTTCCGTCACTCGGGTGGCCTCAGTAATGAGTTGCGTAAGATCGTGTGAAGTTGCAAATTTTTAAGCTCTTGTTTTTTCTTTCTTTCTTGAAAAAGGCAGCATATTTGCATTTAGGTCGCCAAGAAGCACGAAATCACATTTTTCCAGGTTAACTTTCGTCATAGATATCTCCAAGTTTGAAATAAAGTTCGCAAAGTCAAAACCGGGGGCTCTATATGCACAACAAATCAATACTGGGCGACATTTAGTGCGCGATAGCTCAATCCATAGACATTCATTTGCGGCTGAAGATCATTCCTAACACGAAACGGCAAGCCTTCCTTTACATAGATTGCTACTCCACCAAAACCTTCTTTGGCTCCAGACCTATCCAGGCGAATGCAATTATATCCTGGAATAATAACATGGGAGTCTTCATAGCAGTCATCCAGCCAAGTCTCACTGAGTGTAAGAATATCGATCGTTCTGTTATCCAAACCCTCCAGGCGCAGCGAGTCTGATTTGTTCCTCAAGCTTCGAATATTTAGATGAGCAAGCCTCAATCCTCGTGAACTCCTAACATCCTCCAAACTCCTATATCCAGGGTTGAGTTCAACATCTCCGGCAAGCGCTATTAGAGCCAAGGCTAGAGAGCCATGAAGTATAAGCTTGCACGTAATAAAGCCTTTCTGGAAAGCTCCGACTGCTTGGTGTTTTGCTGGACGCCGTGCCAGAGAGTGAAAAGATTGAATTTTAATCCTGCAAGCTTCTTGGGAAGCAAAATATAGGTTGCTACTATTGCTTAGTGGCTTCGTTGATGATTTGTTTTGTTTTATGCCATTCAAGATAAGAAACAGGCAGAGCAGGAGGCCAAAATTAACGGACAACGTGGTAACGCATCCAGCCATCTTGATATGCAAATCTTACTCGTATTACATAATATCATTATGATCGCTAATGTAAGGATATGAATCCGAGTAATACTGAGATTAAAGAAGATAATTATACGCAAACCCCCCATCAGTTCTCAGTACACGAGGAAGCCGTATCTCATTTTAATGGTGTCCATTGCTTACCACTTCCTGTGACCAGTTTGTTTACCGTGTTTAGTCACTCATAAAGAATGCCGATGAGATAGAGGGAGCAGGAAATCACTTATTAATAAACGCTCCTAACTAAAAAAGGCGATGAAGCTGTTGGATTGAAGTGTTAGTTACTGTAGTTATTTCCTCTATTCCCAATCAAACTAGCGTAGCAGGAAATTTATTTAATTCTAAACTGTTTTTTGAACTACGCTTTCATGCTGCCGCTCCGCCGAGTGCTCCATTGTATCAACACTTAAGCGTCTTTAGTGCACGCTGCTTCTGTGAACTCAGTTCTCTTAAGACGTACTTAATTCGGCTCACTTATTTCATTTCGATCGTTTTAGCTGCTGGTGGATATGAGAAAATTATTTTATTGCTGAACTATAACCAGTGCAAAAAAAAACTGTAGGTTTTATAACAAACTACAGCTACAGTTAGTATGAATAATAATAATAATGACAATGATAATAATAAATAATAATCGAGTGCGAATAGTTACTATCATTGATACAACTTGACTTGATTTCCGTACCTATAAAACTTCGATCCTCCATTCATATATCCTCAGGTTATTCATGCTGTGAAAATTGTAAGCTTAAGCCCTTTTAAAATTTCCTTTAACTTCAGGGCATGGTTTATGACTTACTCAAGCAAAAGGGTGGTTATTCAAAGAAGACTGCAAAATCTCTTGTCAAAAGCTTACCAGGTATTCTTTGCGTGGTGTTGATATGCTTATAAATCATGATTGCTGCTCTGAAAGGCAGACGGCAAAACATTAATTTTTTCTAAAAATATGTACTTTCAGTAAGTGATCGGCAGCTGTTCGTCAGTAGGATACCTAAAATATGTGTAATTTCACAATTGATTTCGGCCTCAATGTTTCAGTCGATTGACTGTAGATTTAAAATCTTGCATCCAAATACTCCGACTGAGACTATCAAAAGATTGTTTAACCATCATGAAATACTTATTTTAGGTGAAATTGAAGACTTCTTATCGAATGCAAGGTTCACGACCTAAGTTTTATCAATGAGAGAACTTAAAACAGGCTTTTATTTTCTCTTGGTTTTATCTTTAAACCACCGTAGTTTAATGCCGAGGCGAACTCTAGTGCAGTAGTTTGTTCAATTTTGTAAAACCAGTTTGTTTTTTCCTCAAAAGTCTATTCTTGTTTATAACAAAGTGGTCTTAAGTTTTTGAAGAGTTCAAGCATCGCCTAAAGCAAATGCATTTTCAACTATTCTCAAAATATTTTATACAGTTTAAACGTCTTAAATGCAACTTTTTTATTTAATTTTTTCCGATTTACCACTCCATGAAATACTATAACATGCCATAATGCTATTTGTTTGTCACCCCAAAATTTTGCATAAGCATCGTTTTCAGTTTCTCTTGGGAGTTAAAATGGCCCCAAGAGAAACTGAAAACAATGCTTATGCAAAATTTTGGGGTGACAAACAAAGAGCATTATGGTATGTTAATGGTCTTTTATGGAGTGCTTATTTGTAAAAACGACCATTGTTTAAAAAAAAATAACACAAATATTTATCTGTAAGGTATCGAACAAATGAAATGTTACAACTCGTAATTTGCAGTACCTTATAGTGTTGTTGTTGTTGTTTTTTAATTTCTTTTTTCCTTTTTTTGTCACCATTTTTATTGTTAATAAAGTGCAATAGAAATTAATCAAAAATTATTTTTGTTCAAAAGCTACGAATGTAGAATAGAAAATAAAATGCACGTTAATTGAGGCCCTGTGTTTACAACGTTTTTTCATAATTTAGTTGACAAGACTTTTCTTTTTTCTTGCAGAGTTAAATAATTCCTTCTCCCAAAGTCTCTTCAAAGAGGACGATTTGAAAAAGATTGAGAGACTGGAAAAGTTTATCAAGGTAAAAAACATAGGTTGGTTAGGATCGAGAGGAAATTTTTTCTGTAGGGTGTGGAGCAAAGAACATCGGCACCACACCCAAGTCATGTCGACAAGTGTCCCAAAAGCTAAAACAGAATACGAATCCTAATTGCTCGTTCTTATGACATTTCCTTGAACGGACAATGCTCATAATCCTTTTTCTGTACTCTCTATTAAATAAAAATCAAACGTGGGAAGCCTAGTTAATTGCCGGCTCCAGCTAATGAGCTGAGCTTCCTGTAACCTACATCCTAGATTAACACTAAACCGGTATTCCTAATTTCAGGAAAACAGTAAACGTGAAATGTGATTTGGCAGTATGCTTTATGCGTATAACACGTCTGGAAAAGAAATTGTTTCAGTTTTTTCGCTCATTTTATAGTAGAGTCAGGACTACTCCCATGCTTTCCGTTATTAAAGTTTTCAACAGTGGGATTATCACCCAGTTCGATATATAAACTGGAATTTAACTTAGTTATGACAGGTTTATAAAGCTGTACAGAAACCGGGCCGAATCGGATTTTTATAGACCGTCCTACCTTAGTGTTTCAGACAAAACCTTTCCCACATCATGACTCTAACAACAACTCTTTTTGTATTCGTAGGATTTGCTCATCCTTCCAGCTGTGGTCCGAAATTCAGAAAGCGTCAACAAATTTTTTGGTGCATTTTTGGAAAAAACAGTAACATGTGAAAGGTTTGGCCGAAGAAAGTTACCTTTTTAACTAAAGAGTGACTGGAACATTAAAATCTAATGATACATTTTGTTACTTAGGTCAAAAAACGAGGAAGAGTTAAAAAAAGTCAATAAAGTGGTCGAAGTTTTAAGTGGTACGTAAATCTTATGATTAATATCCAATTTCCACTCTCTATCCATCCATCCATCCATCCATCCAACGGTCCGTCCGTTCTTCCGTCGATCCATCGATCCATCGATCCATCGATACATCTGTCTGTCCGTCCGTTCATTCATTATTCATTCAGTCCGCATCCAATTTTTAAAGATTGAATTAAATTGTCGTTTTTGACCGTTTATGGTATTTCCTCTTTCAATAAAAAACCATTGTCCTGAAAACTATTCTTAAACCATCCATTTTTAGGACGAGATCCTCTCCGAACCTTACCAAGGAGTCCATTGCTCGGTGATAGAAAGAACAATGCAGAGTTATTTCCAGACGATCTAAAGCCCAAAAGCAAGAGTCTTCCACGGTCTGGTCTGTTCGGGAGAACAACTTCTGAGCCAGGTATCAAGGCAAACACTAATCGTGCACCAGTCTTGACAAAAAGACAGTTTAGCGTTGGTGTTGGCATTGCCGAGATGTTCAAGGGCAACTTAAACTTTATATCAAACATGACCCAAGCGGAACATTCGCAAAGTGCTGATGCGCCGCGCATTCAGCCTCCTAGCGAGACGAAGGAGAATCACTCCAGAGGTGAAGATACCACTGGAGATACAGCAGAAACCATAACTGGAATAGAGGAGCCTTGTATCCAAATGAAATCAGCTCAAAGTGAAAATAGCCCCAGAGGAACAAAGTATTTGGCTATCTCGTCATATGTTGCGGTGGAAAGTGGTGAGATGTCTCTTCAATCCGGAGAAGAAGTCGAAGTCCTCGAGAAACTTTCTAGTGGTTGGTGGTATGTGAAAAAGGAAATCGGAGAGGGATGGGCACCAAAAACATTTCTTAAACCTGTTCAGGTATTCAGGTCAAAATTTCCCGACACACTGGATCTATCTCAAAGCAAAGAAACATTGGATGGCATTTCGGAAGAGAAAATCGTGAGAGAGAGTGAGATGGGATTCCACGTGCAAGAAAAACAGAAGGTATACTTCATCTCATAGGTCAATTATGTTCTACTGCACAAAAAATACCATAACTGTTAATTCTATTCCTGGAAAGGTCTAAAAAGGTTTCCCTTTTTTGAATTATTAGTTTTGGATCATCTTCTTGCATTCACCATTTTTAATCGTCTGAGTTCTGTTTGTCTGTCGATCGCTGTAGCAATTGAGTGTAAGGAGTATCGAGAGCATGAGAAAACGTGAAAGACAACGAGTATAGAACTTAACAGAAGTGGGAGCATAAGGCAAAGGGAATGCAACTAAATACGTGCGTTAATGCACTGGCGTATTTGATCCGCTTACAGATAAAACCAACCCGCCAGTTCCAATACTAGTATACAGACTTGTATCAGTATTCAGCAGAGAAGACTCCCTGTGTTAAGCGTACGAGTCTTATTTTTTGAGAGAAAAATCTGTATTTAGCCCAGGCGCGTAGCTGGGGTTTGAGAAGGGGTGTTCATACTGATACGGAAACCGTAAAATTCCGAAAATAAGCCCCGGGGCTTTTATTTTTCAAAGGCCCTTTTTGAGGGGCTTATTTTCAGAGGTGCTTACATTCGGAAGGGCTTATCTATGGAGGGAAATTTGCGATTCAAAATCGATTGGGCTAGCCTTATAGTTGGAAGGAAATTTACCTTTTTTGCTTTGTTTTACTTTGCATTTGAGGGCAATTGCCAAGTACAAGCCCCCGGGAGGCTAATAAACCTTATACCTTTTAGACTAAAAGGTATAAAAGTTGCATGCTTAGTCAATTACCTTTGGGAAAATAACATAAAATACTCGCTGATCCGTTTCCTTTAGAAGCCATTTTGTCAAGACCAACTCTATACTTCATGTAAGGCTTGTAAGAATTTCATTTGTTCTCAACAATGAATAAGACTTTCCCGATACTGTTAGCGTTTTCTTGCAGGGTAATTCAAACTGAGCTAAAACACTCAAAGTTTGTTTTCCATTCCTCCACTATTTGCTAAAATCTGAAAATTAACAGCTTGTGTTTTTAGTCCTCCATCATTGAACTGCAAAGGGGCCTCGTTCAAACCCCTCGAACCCCCCCCCTCCTACGCGCCTAATTTAGCGGATAATTAGCAGGGTTCCCCTGGATGTCCAATAGAAACAGGGGTCATTGTAATATGCGTACCCTACATACTCGGTTGTAGTTTAACAATAGTAATCCGTTTCTCAAATATGGTCTCTTTCCTCTGTTACGTCATATATGAGTGTTATAAATGAATGTCTACAGTATTCCGGATAGCTTATCATGTCACACACGGAAAATTCCCCGGCTTGGTATGAGCACATGTTTATTTTGCTACTGGTACAGATACCTATTTGACAGGCGCCATCTACTTTAAAGATCGGCGTGGCGTAGATTCGCTCCGAAATCGCCTTTTTTCTGTTTTAACAAAAGCCCAATTCGATATGGTTTTTGGCAGCAGTGTAGACACAAACTTAATAAATATCACAAGCGTAATCGATCAAAATGACGTAATAAGGAAAAAGATATTTGCATTTTGGTGGTAAGAGTAACAATAAGGGTATATGAAAATAAACCGCATCTTTTTTTTGGAAAAGATCTCCCTAAACTTTCAAGTGCTCCCATGTGTGTCACAAAAATTCGTGTAAAGACTGTAAAAGTTTGAATTTACAACAACTTAGAGAAGCATGCATAATTATAATGATTACATACGAAATTTAGTAACTACAAAGAAAAGAGCGCAGACAGAACCTGAAGTGTTCCTGTTGACATGTTTAACTTATAGCTTCCTTGGGTTAAAGGTGATATTTCATGGAGGCATAATCTACAGTTTACGAAGCAATCGGCAAGTTTCGGATCTCATTAAAAGTTTGTGTGAAAATGTTAGAGTACCTATCAGAAGGCGTGTAGGAAAGCAAGAACATAATATCTTATCTTTAGAGAATGTATATATAATTTTTCTAAATAGTTAGAAATGCGGAAGTACATGAACGTGACCAGTATAGCACCGGTGGAACAAACGTCATAGCCTTAAACTCATTGTTTTTTCAAGCTTCCTCAAGAGAAGCCAAAACGAGGTTATAAAAGCAGCTGAGCATATTTTTTTTGTTACTTAGTCGCTGAGTCAAACCAGTGAAAACGAGTCACAAGAAACGGAATCAACTGAGATGGACCGAAGGGTAAAGCTTGTTTCAGTGGAAGGAATTCAGAAACGCAAGACCCCAGATAAAAATTATGTAAGTATTTCGAACCGGTTGGTTAGTAAATCACCTAGTGAACGGCGAATTCCAGAATGCCTTAATCTTGTTTTCAATGAAAACGGAATTCAGCATTAGATTTTAAAGCTTAGAAAATGTCATTAATTTTCGAAACACTTTGTGCACTGAAATGTTTTCCAATTACCGTCGATAAATTGATCAATGATCGGATTGAAAGGGGAGAGCCGGACTATTGTTGGTCTTGCAATCAGTAGGATTACCATTCACTAACCGATAGACCTGAATTAGTTCAATTTATTGTCTCTGAGCTACTTTAATCGACTATCTGTTGTTCGCCTAAGTGCAGATAACGGCTCCTCGGTATACGCAAACATTATTAAGGTGACAAACCACTAAAAAGCGTACATTTATTAATTCGCTGTATGTATTAGCTGTCTTTTTTATGTTAGATGTTACTTCTTCTTATTTAGCAGATATTGCTGAAGAACGCATCGGTGTTTTGTTAAAGGGCTTAAGAAATGTCCTAAATGCAAAATTTTGCTAATTTGCTCCCGTCTAGGTTTACATTCTCAAAGTGCTGTGGTCAGACGGAAGTATTAACATCATCTACAGAAAGTGCAGTGATTTCTTTTTTCTACAGGTTTGAAACATAACTGTCTTAGGCGAAGGCCAAACGTGGAACTTTTCATGAAACTAACTAAATTATAATTTGGTCTGAAGGTTGATCCAAACTCCTCGAGACAAACTTAACTCAAGACAGACGTCGAACTTTTCATGAACTTTATATCGGATCAATTTGGTTCTTCTTATTAATGAAAAGTTCGATGTTAATGGGCAGGCCTTAGTCTTAAATAAAGTTCTTCATCTCACTTAGACCAATTTTAGAAGTCGAATTTTTCCTTGATCGAACCAAATCTAATTGCAAATGAGGCAGAACAATAGACTTTGCCATTAAAAGCATTATATTTGGCAGAGTGAACTGAGTTTGACTCTTGATACAGACCTTAGGAGGAGAAGTTTCCACTTCAGTGTTGGCCAAGTATCAAATTTTCTCCTTGACGATTCCATCGTTGACGTGAATCCATGATTTATAGTACATTTGGTAACAAAGGGTCGATACTGTTGCCGGCATTTCTTTTTCATTGGGAGCTAGCGCCGAGCTATCATTTTCAGCACTCCGTTAGAGTTTTTCTTAGCCAAGGCCGAATGATATCACTCAGTCTTCCTTTTCAGACGTTTGATTAATTAATTACATAATTATAAATAAAAACTATCATATATGAACTGTGGATACAAATTTGAATAGAGAAATATTAATCAAAGCTAATAAGTATAATTCAAATCCAATGATCTTCGCTTAACCCGCCGGTTTGATGCAGTCCGGTCAACTGTGCCAGTCGTTATTGACGTCCGAACCTGGTTAAGTCTTTATTTCATTTGATTTGTTCCTAGTATTGGTTAGGGAAATTCATCGCTTTTATCAGGATTTGTGTTTGAAACAAATTTTCAAGTGCATTTAAATCCTTTTCTAATGCGGCACCCAAATTGGGAGCCAAATTGAAGTTGTTTTTACTAATCGATCAGTAAATAAAGACATAGTCATCTACTGAAAATTCCTTTGAAACCCACTTGTTTTTAACATAAAAACGCAAAGGCGGGTAATTAAGCTATCTTTATACCAGTTGATAAAGGGAATAGTGAGAAATAATTTCCAAATGTGATCGTTGTGAAAATATTGATTGTTTTACCTATAGGAAAACCTCAAAAAAGAATTTCCGAAGGGCACTGGCAAAGAAATTCCCGTGTTAAAAGGTGAGAAATTAAAATGACCTAAATGCTCCCTAAATTAATTCTGTGGTCACAATGAAGTGTTTAGTTGCTAAAGAAACTATGGTATCGATACTGCGTTTTTGGGAGAGGAAAGCCGACGAAAGGACTTCAGTTTGTCAATATTTTAAAGTAGGCTTTAAAATTTCATTTGATCAACCTTAGCTATAATTTTTGTTTTGGTCATAACTAGTTAGAATCTCCGCGGTCATCAAGTCTACAAAACTGATTCAATACAATTCTGGTTTGACTTGTTCTTTTTCAGGGAGAAAATTTTCTGAAAACTGCGAGTTTTGCTTCAAGGATGGAACATGCAAACGAAGACAGTCTTTGAACAAGTTTTTTCACGTGAGTATAGAAACAAGATGAAAGAAAATTGGTCAGTCAAATTGTGGAAATCTACTCATTATCCCTTCGCTATAAAAGCGATTTCCTTAAATCTAATGGCTTAGTAAATTGCTATTATTTATCTTGTGTATTTTCCCAGTTATTAGGTTTTAATTTCATACTAATTTTCCCTCCCTTTATTATTTATAAGGACCTTATCAACGCTCCTGATGATATTTCAAACAGCCAAGCTGTCCTCCTCTTTTGTCGGGCTCGACTCAGTGATTTGCGCCCTCATGGGACGTAAGTAACGTGATTATTCTGATGAACACACGTAGCTTTCTCTTTGACCTCAGATATGTCAATTCTGATTAACATCATCATTATGTTCACCGTCACCACCACCACCATCATCATAATCATCATCGTTGTTCATCGTCGGCATTATCTTCGAACGTATTCATGATCATTATGGTTATAATGTCTCAAAACCAGAAGTAGTTAAAAATTATACAATTTGAGACACTAACCAAGAGCTTAGGTAAAGAATTCGAATCCTGCTACTTCAACTGATTTTATTAATAAGAGGGTTATCTTTTTCTGTCTGCATTTGTGTTAGACATTAGATTTAATTTAGTAAAATATATTACAGCGGTCTTACTGTTTTATTTCAGTCCATTTCTTAAATTGTCAGAAATGGAAATAAAACGGTAAGACTGTAATATAACTTTTACGGCCAAAAATAGCAGAAAGTATTCGTTTCATATTTTGTTTTGTACTTTCTTCATTTTCAGATCTAGCAAAGCTAACAAGACCAATGAAAGTAAGTGACAAATGCAAACTATGACTTGAGCTTTTCTTTTTTTCTTTCAAAAGGAGAAACAGAGAGTTGACTAGAGATTGAAATTGCCTCAGCCCTTTCGAGTCCACTTACTCTCATCGTCCGACAAAGTCCCCAACATACTAGCTAGGATAAGGAACTACACAAACTAAGAACAGACGATGATGGGATGAACAGTGCTTTCTGTGTATTCAAGAAATAATTTTCAAGTGGGAATTTCTTTCTTAACTCTTTTTTTTATTGCAGGTGATAATAACGACAGTGTTCAGATATCAGGACCTGTGGTGTTTGAGCAGTACATAGCCATTGCTGACTACAAAAAGAAGAACAAGAACGATATTTCACTGACAGCTGGTGACACTGTTGATGTTATCGAAAAGAGCGACTTTGGTAAGGAATATTAAAGCAGATTGAAGCAGTTTTTCAGCCAACATTGTTTACTTCTTAAATCTAACTTAAGAAACACTTAATCTAACTGTTACAGCATTCTAAATCAGTTTTATTCATAAGTAAAACTAGATTTTACGTCTTAATCCTTTACAATTATCCGGAGCGGTCGCTTTTAACCTCAAGTTGAGCTTTAGTAAACGTACCATTACGTCTTATTCGGACCGGACATACAAGCTTAAAGCTTCTACCATGTGACTGTTATTTTTCTGCCTTAACAAAGCTGATTTTTTTATGAAAGCTTTCCTTTATTACTGTGAAAGCGGGGTTTTTATCATCGATAAATGGAGGAGCAAGGCAATACATAGTTGGATTGTTCCATTGATGCATACAGAGCGAGATCTATAGAGCAAAATTAGTGCCAGCTGGAGATAAATATCAATATGGATCTTTAATAATAATAATAATAATAATAACAACAATTTAATACATGTACTATTCTTTTAAAGGTTGGTGGTTGGTTGACCGTGATGGCGAGTTAGGCTGGGCTCCTGCGTCACATCTGGAGCCAACTGATGATGGGGCAGAGATCACTGCCTCCAGAACCTTTGCACCTGGTCAAGGTAGATATTACACAAGCTTATGTAACCTTAATTATGATTGAGCAACGCGAAAAAACACTTAAACAGGAAGAGTAAATTAAAGTAAAAAGCACAACAGATATTATATCATATTTCTTATCATGAATGGTCTTTTTTTTGCTATAAAGAGTGATTAACACGATTGAAAGTTTGGCCTAAACTACACCGATAATTTTGGAAAGTTTCGTTCATAATACTTTAAAGGTAACCTTATGCGGCATATTATAAGTAATATAACCACGTCAATAATGATGGTTTTTTTTTTCAATTTTAATGCGCAGAGGAAGCATATCAGTCGATGCAAAGCTATAAAGCAAGAGCTGAAGACGAACTTTCATTTGACATTGGTGTTACCCTTAAAGTTGTAGAAAAGAACTTAGATGGATGGTGGCTAGCCAGGTAAGACAGTGACGGAACGTTTTTAGCAGTGGGCCCCAGACCTCTCACAAAATACTCTCCGACTCACCCCAGGCGATCGCTATTTAAGGGGTTGTCACATTTACATGGTTTTTAAGTTAGAAAATGACTGACTGTTTTTACTTTTGGGTCAATCGTTTGAAAATTGAGTGATTAAGAGGTAGCAGTAACGAGTTTGCCAAACGATAACAGGCATAAGTAATATTAAAACCTATCTACTTTTACACTTCTTAGATACCAGGGCAAAGAAGGCTGGGTGCCTGCAGTGTTTCTGTTACGAGTAGTTGAGTCTGATGATTCTTCGCCTTCATCTAGTGGAAAAATTTGTGGACTGGGGGACATTGTGTCCTCTCAACGGGGTAGGTGATTTGTTGCATTGATTAATTTTATATTTACAGTTTTGAACATTTCCTTATTCCTTCCGTGTAGGAACTAGGTAAGGGAATTTGCATGGATCTACGTTTTTCATTTTAACAAGAGAGCTGAGCAGTCACACCTCAGTAGTTTCGACTCCATACTAAACCATAATAAATGCTTATAGTTTAAATTTACCTATTTGGTGTTTTTCTACTTCATCCTCAGGCCAAATAACATTTCGAGGTTTCCTTTGTTCTTTTCTACGAAAGAAAAATCATGATCCAAAGTAGCGTTACTGAACTGCTGGGCAGGCGTGTCGCTCATTCTTTTTCATGGCTACTTCAGTGGTCTCCCTCGCAGCCTGTTTTGTCACGTCACGAACGCCCTTCCCCATAACTCCAATCCCTCTTTCTAGAATGTTTATACTTTTTTACTGGGCTTCGACCTGACCTATGGGGAGGGCCAGGAAGGAGACACGCAAGTACCATGCGGGGTACCCTCCCCTACCCCATTCCCACATTCCGTAAAGACAGATCACCAGTGGTTGTGACCAGGGTTAAGACTATGAGGTTTGGTGTGGCTGTTGCCGTAGGAATTGATTCCTATCTTCCTTTCTAAGTCTGGTATTTAACGATTGTAACCAACTGAGCTAACCAGTAATCCTATAACGTTAATTGATTAACGCAACCATTTTTTCATAATAGTTTCTGAAGAAAGTGACAGTGTGACAGGCCGAAGATCACCTCCTACGAGGCGAAGTATGGTAAGTTCTTCCTCTGTCAATTTTTCGTCAACCTAGCGTTACTTTTCACCGCTTCTATCTTACTTCTTTCTTTAAAACGTTTCTATATTTCATGAATAGCTTAATAAACGAGGAGTTTCAATAATCGTTGGACTTTTATAAGAGCTAAACCCTTAAATGAGTTCCATTACACTTGAAAACATTCGTAAAATTGTAATTTCTTTTTTTTAAATTCGTATTTCCTTAGTAATGGATTATCATCGAAAATTGCATTTACTATTTTTTCGTTTTCCGGCAGGTTAAGCGATCGATCAAAAAGAGGCCAAATAAAAATGTCACTCCTCCTCAGCCTACTGAAACAAAGCCGAAAGAAAAGGAACAAAATCAGGGAGATACGATATCTTTTTCAAGCGGATATCATACCTCTTCAAGCAGCAGTCTGTCCTCTCTAGTTTCAGATGTTTCTATACCTGAAACGGAAAGCGTTGTGCAGTGTGCATTACCGGGTAGTTCTGATAGCTGTGTAGTAAGCACTGCTCCAAAACAGGTTTACTCCAGCTCAAATCTTGTAACAACATTAGCACAGGATGCGAATACATCCGGGTCTTCTGTGAATGGAAGTGCATTGAGCTCAGGAAGAAGAAGTCCCATTCCATCACCAAGAAGTAAAAGCCCCAGACGCAGCCCCCAGCCGAGAATTGATGAAATTAAAGCAACTCCTGTTGAGTCTATGTCTGAAAAGGAGCAAGAAAATGATTCCCAGAACACGAGGTATCAAGCCATATACACGTACATCTCTCAAGACAAAAACGAAATTTCCATCAACGAGGGAGACATAGTGGAGGTACTTAAGCGGAGCAGCAATGGCTGGTGGCTTTTAAGCGCAAACGATCATCAGGGTTGGGGTCCATCAAATTTCTTGCAACCAGTGTAAATGGACGGAACTTTTATTTAGAAGAGGAATCTTTCTGGGAATTCCGGAATGCTTGCTCAGTCAGGGAAATGCTACTTCCAAAGTGAAATATAATTTGAAATGAGACATCACTTATTCTAGTTTTGTCATTGACACAGTACAAGTTCGGAAAGAACAAAAAGTGCGGAAACCTGAATTAAAGTCAGCTAGTTTTATCGATAAGAAGTTGCAAACATTTTCTTATAATTAAAATACTATAATTGTTAACTTTTTTAAGCTTTTGATATCATATATAGTACAGGTTGCTATTTGCCGACAGAAACTTAATATTTCGCTACAATAAGTTCGTAAGGACTCCGTAAGCTAAGTTTAAAAGTGAGCGTCATCTCATCCTGAAAGACCATTTTAGGATACATAGCAAAGTGGAACAGCAGGATGGTGTCCCAGTAACGAAGGCCCTGTCAACAACGGCTTTAAACAATGCTCAGCAAGAAAATAAGAAGTTCGAGACGATTGATGCTAGAATCAAGATACAATAACTAATACAATAATCACTTGAAATAAGGGCTAATAGAGAAAAAAAAATGTGAAATAGGTTAACGTAATTCAATATTAAAAATGAGCCGAAATTTTTTTGTTCATGGTGTGTTAGTACCACAGGCAGCCAAAGCTCAGTATATGAGTGCAAATGGCAAGGCTGGATGGTTTAAAGCGTAAACGCGTTGTTTTCGCTTCGGCCTCTCGCACTAGACGAAGTAAGGCACGATTACATCAAGGTCAACGTAAGGTGCTTCGTCGATTAAAAGTAATGTGGCAAATAACGGCAAAAGAATCACACATTTGCAAATAAAAGTCTGAGATACCACTGGATTGTTTGCGTGGACGCTACGGTTACACTCGAGGATTCATAATTTTTTCGGACTCATGATTCCAGACTTATTTTATTGAGGGTGATTCGGATCATTTCGTAAGCGTTCATAGAGTCTTCATTCTAAAAACGCTTTCGGATTCCCAACAGTTTACACACATGGAAAATACTGGGTGGCTTAAGCAACGACGACGGCGACAGCAAGGAGAACAAAGTCAAAAAGCAAAAGGCTTTAAGTTAAACGACAAGTTTTGCATCTGTAGCACGCTTTTTGGTACATTTCTTTGCCAATGGAGAACGTGAAAATAAACAGACGGTTATGAGTTTTTCTTTTCCAGTTCAAACTTGGGAGCGGTTCCCAAGGATTCAACTCCAGTGAAATTCACCTACATTTGCCGTTTTGAGCAAATTGGAATAAACGCAGAAAAGTTTTAAAAAGCGCGAATTCGTTTTAATGGTGACGTATTTGCTACCCTCGCCATCAATATTTGTAAAGCATCCTATATTCACGAACGTGGCACTTACATTTTGGTTTTAACGCAAACTCTGATGATTGGAGGAAGAAAGTATTATGATTCGTTGGAAGAACTGTTTACTTTACAAAACATTGAGAAATTAAAATTAAGGTAATTAGATACCAATTTTTCACGTTCGATTCGGATTCAAAATCTTCAGAGACTTGACCAAACCGGGAACTTTTTTAAAAAGGCGACAAAAAATTTTTCAGTTTACTTAGGGATGTCATAAACGCTTAGGTTTACAGTAACCTTACCTTTGGGGACATTGTCGAGGGGGTGGGCGATTTGCTGAGTTGTTCGTACCACTGAAAAAATCCTGGCTACGCCCCTGATTAAGGCAAAGTTTATCAGAATAATCCAACTAGCCTTGAACCTAGAAAAACTTGACGCGAAAGAGTTTGGGGGCAACTACAGGGCAATTAATAAAGATTTCTCATTCGTCATAGACCTTAGATAACATTAGCAGGAAGAAAAAAGTAAAAGGTTTTAGTTTTAGTCGCTTTATTCTTTTTTTGGGCATTTTATTCATTGCATAAACCTTTCATGGTGGACTAAAGGGACAACATAAAAAAAAATGTATTTCCTTCTTACTGGGTGCACTTTGCCAAACCGCTGCAATAGCCACGTAACAATGTTCCAATGATTTCTTCCTGTCACTCTATGTGTGATTGACTTAATACATGAAGAGGCTAAGGTCTTGCTTGATTAACCGTATTCCGGTTTATACGGGCGACAAGAGGAGCCCGCAATCCTAATTTCCAGGTTGTTATTACGCATGCGTCGTTTGAACTTCCACTAAGAATGTATGGAATGCACGACACACTTTGATCATGCACGTTTGGACTTTCTATCACTCTTAATCTGATCACGCGTGTTTTGACCATCTGTCACGTGAAACTTACGCAACGTACAACCCTGGAGCAAAAGCTTTTAGACCCTCGATCGTTGTCGCCAACACTCCGTAACCTTTGGTAATAACTAGTTACTAAGAATAAACGGATTAAGCTCTAGTTTTGCATTCATTGCATTACTATGCCTATAATGCTCCTTGAAACAAAAAGTATTGCGAAGTATAACTCCAAAAGCCAAGGAAGACTTATGACAAAACTTGCGTATCCGTATTCCGTAATACGATCAATCGAAACCACCCTAAACTGATCTATTGTGTTCGCCCACACCAAACAGCTTGCTTTGTTTATGTCCAGCCAGCTGAGTCAAGGACTTGTATAAGGAGGCCTACACATAAATATACTGATCTTATAGCTAAGTACATTTTACTGAACAGAGCTGTCGTTGTCACTTGCAACATGTCCGCAGAGGGGAAGACAGTGTTTGAAGCATCTGTTACCGGGACTTTTCCATCGAAGAATAATGGAACCGTCCTTGAGGTTTGCCATTTCTTTGCTTTTGCATGTTTAAATACCGTGTCTTCGCGAAACCCAGGTCTGACTTGTTAAGTGTTGGCAAGATCTGAGGAAGAGATTAGTAGAATTAATGGCGCACCTGATTTCAACGTTGAAATGTCAGTAATAAAAAATAAGCGACAACATTGGAGGACCAAGCGCTAAAGTAATTAGCTTTTACAGTGTATGTGTTCTGTGGAAAACGAATGACAGGAAATGCATTTCTTGGTTCAAACTATATGAGTACTGACAGTACTCCGGCAAGCGTTATTAGTTTCTGTCTGGACTCGGACTTCATATCTTAATTTTTACATTTTTTTTCCCCTATCAGGCATATAAAATCACAGTTCTGTACTCTGATGGGAGCAAAATGGCCCTTCGGAAAACATATGAAGATTTCATTGAGTTGCAGGTACGTTTCGGTTGATCGATGTGAAATACGAATTAACTAAATATTTCAAGGTTCCACTCCGAAATCATGTTCAAGTTGTAAAGCGATACTCAGTAATAAAACTGAGTTTATTGAAGATGATAATTGATATGTAGCCTGTTTTTGTAAAAAGTAACAGCTCGCCAGGTTGCAGTCTTTGTACTGGAGAGTATTGTACTTTACTGATCACCTTGGGTTTAGGTCCAGGCATTGAAAGGGAAAGCAGGCGTTAAGTCTGTAAGCAAATTTAAGAATTGTAGTACTGAAAACTACATGTATACTAATTTCAAATGCATACAGTTTAACGTAGATTTTCGTAAATAAAAATTGAGAACTATTTAAACATGCCAAACAGCAACGGTTACATTCATCAAAACTTCAATTCTTCAATTCTCACAGGCGTATGTACTGTCATTACAGTCAATAGCTGTCAGAGAATCTCTGCAGAAAAGAAGAATTAAATGTGCAAATTTTGAACAGGACATTGCTTCAAGCGCTATGTCATTTCGGTGTGTTACTCAAAAGCTCAACAACCAAGAACTCTTCGCTGGGACCACTTAACCGTCGTCTAGCTCTCGAGAGACTGGGCAAAACTACGTTCTTCAGGCCAATTAACGATTCGATACACGTGCACTTCAAGCGTGAGGGTACCGTGTGATGTTACATAACATGATGACACTCGGAACAACGTTTGGTATCGTATTGCATAATATTATTATGATCGCTAACGTAAGGATATGCACCAGAATCCGATTAATAAAGAGATTCAAGAAGATAATTACACGCAACCCCCCTTCAGTTCTCAGTACACGAGGAAGCCGTATCTTATTTTAATGATGTTCGTGTTAGTTGATATATAGTTTATTTTTGTAAACAGTAACAGTTCGTCAGTTTGCATTCTTTGTACTGATCACCCAGGGTTTAGGTTCAGACACTGGAAGGAAGGCAGGCGTTAAGTTTGTAAGCAAATTTAAGAATCGTAGTACTGAAAACTACATGTATACTAATTTCACATGCATACTGTGTAAAATAGATTTTCGTAAATCAAAATTGAGAACCATTCAAACATTCCAAACAGCAACGATTAATGTCATCATCACTTCAATTCTTCAATTCTCACAGTCGTAGGTACTGTCGTTACAGTCAATAGCTGTCAGAGAATCTCTGCAGAATGAGAAGAATTAAATGCGCGCATTAAAGTTTGAGTGGTTACGAACTAGACCAGGAGATTTCTTCAAGCGCTATGTCATTTCGGTGTGTTACTCAACCAAGAACTCTCACGCTGGGACCACTTAACTGTGGTCTAGTTGTCGAGACGCTGGGCAAAACTGCGTTCTTCAGGTCCATTAACGATTCAATACACGGGCACTTCAAGCGTGAGGGTACCGTGTGATGTTACGTAACATGATGGCACGCGTAACAACGTTTGGTATCGTATTACATAATATCATCATGATTGCTAATGTAAGGATATGCACCAGAATCCGAGTAATACTGAGATTGAAGAAGATAATTATACGCAAACCCCCCTTCAGTTCTCAGTACACGAGGAAGCCGTATCTTACTTTAATGATGTCCATTGCTTACCGCTTCCTGTGAAGACAGACTTTTTTCCTGACCAGTTTGTTTCCCGTGCAGTAGTCACTCATAAAGAATGCTGAGAGATAGAGGGAGTAAGAAATCACTTATTAATAAATGCTCCTGACTAAAAAAGACGATGAAGCTGTTGGATTGAAGTGTGTCAGTTAGTTTTGTAGTTATTTCTTCCATTCCAAATCAAACTAGCTTAGCCGGAAAAATGTTTAATTCTAAACTGATACCACAGTCTGCATTTTGGCAAACACTGACAAATAGAAATCTACTGGCCTCAATTGGCTGGAGAAATAAAATTTTAACTTATGTTTTTGGAGTGTTCCTCTTCGATTTGATTTGTACTCAGTTTAACTACGCTTTCATACTTCCGCTCCGCCGAGTGCTCCATTGTATCAACACTTAAGCCTCTTAAGTGCACGCTGTTATTCCCGTACTTAATTCGGTTCACTTATTTCATTTCGATCGTTTTAGCTGCTGGTGGATATGAGTAAATTATTTTATTTCTGAACTATAACCAGTATAAAAAAACTGTATGTTCTATAACAAACTACAGCTACAGTTAGCATGAATAATACTGAATAATATTAATAATAATAATAATAATAATAATAATAATAATAATAACAATAATGATAATAAATTATAATCGAATGCGAATAGTTACTATCATTGCACTGCGGGGTTCTCGCAATTAGTTAGATACAACTTGACCTGATTTCCGTATAAAACCTCCATCCTCCATTCATATAACTTCAGGAAGTTATTCATGCTGTGAAAATTGTAAGCTTAAGCCCTTTTAAAATTTCCTTTAATTTCAGGGCACGGTTTATGACTTACTCAAGCAAAATTGTGGTTATTCAAAGAAGACTGCAAAATCTCTTGTCAAAAGCTTACCAGGTATAGTGATATGCGTATAAATCATTGCTGCTCTGATAGGCAACTGCAAAATATTAATTTTTTCTCAAAATATGTAGTTTCAGTAAGTGACCGGCAACTGTTCGTCATTAGGATGCCTAAAATGTGTGCAATTCCACAATTGATTTCGGCCTCAGTGTTTCAGTCGATTGACTGTAGATTCAAAATCTTGCATCCAAATACTCTGAAGGTATCAAAAGATTGTTTAAGCATCATGAAATAGTTATTTTGGATGAAATTGAAGACTTTTTTTCGAATACAGGGTTCATGACTTAAGTGTTATCACTAAGAGAACTCAAAACAGGCTTCTATTTTCCCTTCGTTTTATCAGCCACAGACGTTCAATGCCGAGGAGAAATCCAGTGCAGTAGTTTGTTCAATTTTGTAAAACCCATTTTTCCTCAAAAGTCTATTCTTGTTTATAACAAAGCAGTCCTAAGTTTTTGAAGAGTTCGAGATCACCTAAAGTAAATGCAGATTCAACCATTTTCAAATATTTTTTACACAGTTTAAACGTCTTAACTGCAACTTTCGTTACTCTTTCATTTTATTTTTTTCCAATACATAAAAACGAACATCTTATTTTATTAAATATGACACAAATCTTTCTCTTTAACTTATCGAACAAATCACATGTTACAACTCGTAAATTGCAGTTACTGTACCTTATAGTGTTCTTGTTGTTGTTTTCTTTAATTTCTTTTTTTCCTATGTATTTTTGTCACCATTGTTATTGTCAATAAAGTGCTATAGAAATTAATTAAAAATTATTTTTGTTAAAAAGCTCTGAGTATAGAATAGAAAATAAAATGCACGTTAGTTGAGGCCCTGTGTTTACATCGTCACATCATCTAGTTGATAAGACTTTCCTTTTCTTGGCAGAGTTGAAAAATTCCTTCTCCCAAAGTCTTTTCAAAGAGGACGATTTGAAAAAGATTCAGAGACTGGAAAAGTTTATCAAGGTAAAAACATAGGTTGGTTAGGATCAAGGGGAAATTTTTTTCTGTTGGGTGTGGAGCAAAGAACATCGGCAACAGAAGTCATATCGACAAGCGACTCAAAGGCTAAAACAGAATGCGACGTGCAGGCCTGGGTTCCATTTTCTATACTCTCTATGAAACGGATTCTTTCAGACGTCGGAAGCTCAGTAAACTGCCGGCTCCAGCTAATGAGTTGAGCTTCCTGTAACCTACATCTATCCTAGATTACCACTAAACCGGTATTCCTAATTTCAGAAAACAATAAACATGAAATGTGATTTGGCAGTATCCTTTATGCGTATAACACGCCTGGAAAACTGTTTCAGTTATTTTTGCTCAGTTTACCAGGAGAGTCAGGACTACTCCCATGCAGTTTCTGTTGTTAAAGTTTTCAATAATGGGATTATCACCCAGTTAGATATATAAACTGGAATTTAACTTAGTTATGAGAGGTTTATAAAGGTGGACAGAAACCGGGCCGAATCGGATTATTATAGACCGTCCTACCTTAGTGTTTCAGACAAAACCTTTCCTTCATCTTGACTCTAACAACAACTCTTTTTGTATTCGTAGGATTTGCTCATCCTTCCAGCTGTGGTCCGAAATTCAGAAAGCGTCAACAAATTTTTTGGTGCATTTTTGGAAAAAACAGTAACATGTGAAAGGTTTGGCCGAAGAAAGTTACATTTTTAACTAAAGAGTGACTGGAACATTAAAATCTAATGATACATTTTGTTTTTAGGTCAAAAAAAGAGGAAGAGTTAAAAAAAGTCAATAAAGTGGTCGAAGTTTTAAGTGGTACGTAAATTTTATGATTAATATCCCATTTTCACCTTCTATCCATCAATCCATCCATCTGTCAGTCTGTCCGTCCGTCCGTCCGTTCATTCATTATTCATTCAATCCGCATCCAATTCTTAGATATTGAATTGAATTGTCGTTTATGACCGTTTATGGTATTTCCTCTTTCAATAAAAAGCCATTGTCCTCAAAACTATTTTTAAACCATCCATTTTTTAGGACGAGATCCTCTCCGAACCTTACCAAGGAGTCTAATATTTTCAGACGACCTAAAGTCCAAAAGCAAGAGTCCTCCACGACCCGGTCTGTTTGGGAGAACAATTTCTGAGCCAGGTATCAGGGCAAACACTACTCGGGCACCAGTCTTGACAAAGAGACAGTTTAGCGTTGGTGTTGGCATTGCCGAGATGTTCAAGGAGAACTTAAACTTTATATCAAACATGACCCAAGCAGAACATTCCCAAAGTGCTGCTACGCCGCAGCCTCCTGGCGAGACGAAGGAGAGTCACTCCAGAGGTGAAGATACCACTGGAGATACAGAAGAAACCATAACTGGAATAGAGGAGGCTTGTATCCAACTGAAATCAGCTCAGAGTGAAAATAGCCCCAGAGGAACAAAGTATTTGGCTATCTCGTCATATGTTGCGGAGGAAAGCGGAGAGGTATCTCTTCAATCCGGAGAAGAAGTCGAAGTCTTCGAGAAACGTTCCAGTGGTTGGTGGTATGTGAAAAAGGAAATGGAAGAGGGATGGGCACCAAGAACATTTCTTGAACCAGTTCAGGTACTCCGGTCAAAATCTGCCGAAACACTGGATCTGGCTCAATGCAAAGAAACGAAAGGAACAATCATGAGAGAGAGTGAGATGGGATTCCAAGTGCAAGAAAAACAGAGGGTACTTCATCTCATTGGTCAATTATGTTGTCCTTCACATAAAATGCCATAAGAGTTTATTCTGTTCTTGGAAAGTTCTAAAACGGTTTCAGTTTTTTGACTGATTTGTAGTGAATAATCTCCTTATCATTTACCATTTTTAATCGGCTGAGTTCTGTTTTTCTGTCAATCCCTGTAGCAATTGAGTGTAGGGCAGTATCGAGAGCAAGGGCAGACGTGAAAGACAACGAGTGTAGAACTTAACAGAAGTGGGAGCATAAGGCAAAACAGAGAAATTAAAAACCAACCCACCAGTTCCAATGCCAGCTTACAGACTTGTAGTGAAACCTGCATTGTTCTGCATTTAGTGGATCAGTATTCAGCGGAGAAGACTCCCTGTGTACGAGTCGTACGAGTCTTATGTTTTGGAGGAAAAATCTGTATTTAGCGAACCATTAGCAGGGTTCCCGAGGATGTCCAATGGAAACAGGGGTTATTGTAATATTGCTACCCTACATACTCGGGTGTAGTTTAACAATAGTAATCTGTTTCTAAAACATGGTCTCTTTCCTCTGTTACGTCATATGTGAATGTCATGAATGAATGTCTACAGTATTCCGGAAAGCTTATCAAGTCACACACGAAAAATTCTCCAGCCTGGTATGAGCACCTGTTCGTACTGCTACTGGTAGAGATACCTATCCAACAGGAGCCATCTACTTTTAAGATTTGCGTGGCATAGATTCGCTTCGAAATCGTCTTTTTGCTGTGTGAGCCCAATTTGATATTGTTTTCGTAAGCAGTGTAGAGATAGGCTTAGTAGAGGGTCTGAATGGTGGGGTCCACTTATCGGTTGTCGGTTAAAATCTACTTACTTTGTCGGTAGTCAAATTTTTCTTTCAAATTGTGTCGGTAGCCTCTGTCCATCGAGCGTTCTTTTGAAATTTGAAACACTTTCCTCAAACTCCTTTGACAAATCAGTGGGCGACAAGGGGCGAAATGTGTGCTGGAAGGTTTCCTTAGTCTTTACATCAAGGATAACATTTTCTTTGAATCTTGTGCCTTAGTATACAACTGTGTCTAAGAACATCGTCTCAGTGAATTTCGGTGGTGAATTTAATAGTAGGATCATGTAAGTTTGCTTCTTCGAAGAAAGTTACGATGTCTGGTTTAAAGAAGGTTTTGCTTAGACTTTGTTTTTCAATATATGGCATGAAAATGTTGACATAGGGAACTGATGTCCTTGTGTCCATCGCAAAGACCATCGCGGTACCGTGGGTTTGTAAGTAGAGCTTTCCATTGAACCAAAAAAAAATTTCTTTCAGTATTAATCTAAGCACTTCTGTCGCAGGTAATGTGTAGGACTAGGCGGGTTGAATTGTAGAAATTTTCATACGCTCTGCAAACCGATTTCAATACCCTCGTTTTGTGGTATATTTGGAAAAAGACTCGTGATATGGTATCTTTGGTTACTTCCTAGAAAGGTAGAAAAAATACAATATACTCTTCTCTCTGAAAGAAAATATAGATAATGTCAGTCCATGTTAGTAGTCGGTTAATATTTTTCCTGTCGGTAGTCGGTAATATTTTGTGCCCTTTGTCGCTAGTCGGTTAACCCCCTTCGCACCCTCTTAGTAAACATCACAAACGTGATCGATCTAAATGACGTAATAGGGAAAAGGATATTTGCATTTTGGTGGTAATAGTAACAATAAAGGTATTATATAATAGAAAGAAACTGCATTCCTTTTTTCTAAAAAAGATCTCCATACTTTAGAATTTGCAATAGTGTTCCTATGGGTCCGGAAAATTCGTTTAAAGACTATTAAATTTCGAATTTTTAACAACCTAGGGAAGCATGCAATATGATGAAATACAAAACTTAATAACAAAGAAAAGAACGCAGACAAAATTTGAAGTGTTCCTGTTGACGTGTTTAACTTGATGATGGATCATGCAGGCTCTTCCCGGTTTATGTGCATAGCTAAAACTGAAATTTCATAGAGGCATAATCTACAGTTTACGAAGCAATCCCCTAGTTTCGGATCTCATTAAATGTTTGTATGAAAATGTTAGAGGACCTATCAGAAGGCGTGTAGAAAAGCACGACCATAATATCATATCTATAGAAAATATATAAATAGAATTTCTATATATAAATAGATAGAAGTGCGGAAGTACATGAACGTGACCAGTAACAATTAAGTAACGTCATAGCCTTAAACTCATTGTTTTTTCAAGCTTCCTCAAGAGAAGGCAAAAAGAGGTTATAAAAACAGCTGAGCATTTTTTTTGTTACTTAGTCGCTGAGTCAAACCAGTGAAAACGAGTCACAAGAAACGGAATCAACTGAGATGGACCGAAGGGTAAAGCTTGTTTCAGTGGAAGGAATTCAGAAACGCAAGACCCCAGATAAAAAATATGTAAGTACTGCAAACCGGTTGGTTAGTAAATCACCTAGTGAACGGCGAATTCCACTTTCTGCAAATATTTTCCAATTACCGTCAGATTGAAAGGGGAGAGTCGGATCGTTGTTAATTGGTCCCGCAATCAGTAGGATTACCACTAACGAACCGATAGGCCTAAATCAGTTCAATTTATTGTCTTTGAGCCACTTATCGTCTACCTGTTGTTCGCCTAAGTGAAGTTAACGGCTCGTCAGTATACACAGACATTATTAAGGTCAAGCCAACAAAAAGCGTACACTAATTAATTAACTGTATGCAATAGCTGCCTTATATTTTTTATTAGCTGTTACTTCTCCTTATTCAGCAGATAGTGCTGGAGAACGCATCAGTGTTTTGTAAAGGGGTTTAAGAAATATCCTAAATGCAAAATTTTGCTAATTTGCCCCCGTCTAGGTTTACATTCTCAAAGTGCTGTGGTCGGACGGAAATATTAACATCATCTACAGACAGTGCAGCGATTTCTACTTTCTACAGGTTTGAAACATAATAACTGCGTTAGGCGAAGGCGTGGAACGTTTCATGAAGCTCATCAAATTTTAATTTGGGTCTGAAAGTTGATCCAAACTCCTTGCAGGGGAAAACTTAACTCAAGACAGACGTCAAACTTTTCATGAACTTTAGATCGGCTCAATTTGGTTCGTCTTATCAATGAAAAGTTCGATGTTAATGACCTTAGTTAGTCTTAAATAAATTTCTTGTTCTCACTTAGACCAACTTTAGAAGTCGAACTTTTCACGGACCAGTATCTAAATGCCACTGAGGCAGAACAATAGACTTTGTCATAAGCATTATATTTGGCAGAGTGAACGAGTTTGACTCTTGAAAAAGGTCTTGAAACAGACCTTAGAAGGAGCAGTTTCCACTTCAGTACTGGCCAAGTATCAAATTTCCTGGTTGACGATTCCATTGTTGACTTGACCAAAGGGCTGATACTGTGGCCGCCATCTCTTTTTCATTGGGAGCTAGTGCCCAGCAATCATTTTCGCTCCGTTGACAGTTTTTCGAGCGATATCACTCAGTTTTCCTTTTCAGACGTTTGATTAATTAAAAAAAAACTATCATATATGAACTATGGATGCAAATTTGAATAAAGAAATATTCATTGCAGCTAATAAGTAGATTCAAATCCAATGATCTTCCCTTAACCCGCCAGTTTGATGCAGTCCGGTCAGCTGTGTTATTAAGCAGCATTGACGTCAGAACCTGGTTATTATAAGTCTTTATTTCATTTGATTTGTTCCTTATTGTGGGGAAAATTGATCGCTTTTATTAGGATTTGTGTTTGAAAAAAATTTTCAACTGCATTTAAATCCTTTTCCAATGCGACACCCAAACTGGGAGCCAAATTGAAGTTGTTTTTACTAATTGATATAAAGACATACATGTACTGAAAATTCCTTTCAAACCCACTATAGTTTTTAACATATACTGCTATTTCGAGAAAGGTTTTAGGGTAAAGTGCACGCGACAACCCCGAAAGGTATTGTCGGTGGTTTTGAGTCCACTGTTTTTCAAAGAAATTTGAAAGAATGGCAGGAGAGGTCATGCACATATGTTTGCGAGTGTTAAAGGAAAGCAACAAAAGTAGATTCGACAGCTAGAGTGTCAGGGACAGTGTATTGAGCATATTCCATATTACCTAACGGGATTGTCGATTTCTTTCTTTCTCGAAATAGCTGTAAACAGAAATGCGGGTAATTAAGCTATCCTTATACAAGCTGAAAAAGGAATAGTAATAAATAATTTCCAAATGTGTTAGTTGTGAGAAAATTGTGTAGTCTTTATTGACGTCCGAACTTGGTTAAGTCCTTATTTCATTTGATTTGTTCCTAGTATTGGTTAGGAAACTTCATCGCTTTTATCAGGATTTGTGTTTGAAGAAAATTTTCGACTGCATTGAACTCCTTTTCCACTGCGACGCCCAAATTGTTTTTACTAATCGATGTAAATAAAGACATACATCTACTGAAAATTCCTTTGAAACCCACTTGTTTTTAACATAAAAACGCAAAGGCGGGTAATTAAGCTATCTTTATACCAGTTGATAAAGGGAATAGTGAGAAATAATTTCCAAATATGATCGTTGTGAAAATATTGATTATTTTTCCTATAGGAAAACCTCAAAAAAAGAATTTCCGAAGGGCACTGGCAAAGAAATTCCCGTGTTAAAAGGTGAGAAAATAAAATGACCTAAATGCTCCGAAAATTAATTCTGTGGTCACAATGAAGGGTTTAGTTGCTAAAGAAACTATGATATCGATACTGCGTTGTTGGGAGAGGAAATCCGACGAAGGGACGTCAGTTTGTCAATCTGTTTAAGTTGGCTTTAAAATTTTCTGACTTTATTGACTCATTTGATCGACCTATAATTTTTGTTTTGGTCATAACTAGTTAGGTTCTCGATCATGATCAATATACAAAAATGATTCAACTCAATACAATTCCGGTTTGACGTTGATCTTTTTCAGGAAGAAAATTTTCTGAAAACTGCGAGTTTTGCTTCAAGGATGGAACATGCAAACGAAGACAGTCTTTGAACAAGTTTTTTCACGTGAGTATAGAAACAAGATGAAGGAAAATTGGTCAGTAAAATTGTGGAAATCTACTCAGATTATCCCTTCGCGATAAACACGATTTCCTCAAATCGAATGGCTTAGTAAATTGTTATTATTTATCTTGTGAATTTTCCTAGTTACTAGGAGCTCAATTTTATGGTTTTAATTTGTTCATACTAATTTTCCCTTTTTTTTTCCTTCATTTTTTATAAGGACCTTATCAACGCTCCTGATGATATTTCAAACTGCCAAGCTGTCCTCCTCTTTTGTCGGGCTCGACTCAGTGATTTGCGCCCTCATGAAACGTACGTAACCTGATTATTCTGATGATCACACGTAGCTTTCTCTCTGACCTTAGATATGTCGATTCTGATTAACATCATCATAATCTTCACTATTACCACCACCACCACCACCACCACCATCATCATCATCATCATCGTCATCATCATCGTTGTTCATCGTCGGATTATCATCGATCATTATGGTTATACTGTCTTTCAACCAGAAGTAATTAAAATTTATACAATTTGAGACACTAACCCAAGAACTTAGGTAAAGAATTCGAATTCTGCTACTTCAACTTATTTATATTAATAAGAGGGTTATCTTTTTCTGTCTGCATTTCTGTTAGACATTAGATGAATAACAAAGGGGTGGCAGAAGAACGCCCGGTTGGGGCCGGGGTCGGTGTCTATGCTGTTTTAGGGTTTGGGTTAGGTTGAGGGTTAGTGTCAATCCTAACCCTAACCCTAAAACAGCATTCTCTAAAAAAAAAAAAAAGACCCGGACGCCGACTCCGACCCCGTGATTTACTGACACCCATAAAAAGTTGGCAAAATTTGAAGGAGGTGATGAAAGGTGTGCATTAAATTTTTAGAAATAGAGATAAAACAGTATGACTTTAATATAAATTTTAAAGCCAGAAACTGCAAAAACTATTCGTTTCATTTTTTGTTTTGTACTTTCTTCATTTTCAGACCTAGCAAAGCTAACAACAAGACGAATGAAAGTAAGTGACAAATGCAAACTATGCGCTTTTCGCTTTTTCTTTCAAAAGGAGAAACAGAGAGTTGACTAGAGATTGAAACTGCCTCAGCCCTTTTGAGTCCACGTACTCGCATTGTCAGACAATGTCCCCAACATGCTAGCTAGGATAAGGAACTACACAAACTAAAAACAAACGATGATGGGATGAACAGTGCTTTCTGTGTAATATGTAAGAAATACTTTTCAGGGGGGAATTTCTTTCTTAACTCTTTTTTTTATTGCAGGTGATAATAACGACAGTGTTCAGATATCAGGACCTGTGGTGTTTGAGCAGTACATAGCCATTGCTGACTACAAAAAGAAGAACAAGAACGATATTTCACTGACAGCTGGTGACACTGTTGATGTTATCAAAAAGAGCGAGTTTGGTAAGGAATATTAGTTTTCAGCCAACTTTGTATACTTCTTAAATGTAAGTTAATGAACACTTAATCTAACTGTTACTGCATTCTAAAGCAGTTTCATTCATAAATAAAACTAGATTTTATGTCTTAATCCTTTACAATTATCCGCAACGGTCGCTTCTAACCTCAAGTTGAGCTTTAGCCAAACGTACTATTACGTCTTATTCGGGCTGGACTTCATAAAAAACTTAAAGCGCCCACCACTGTTTTTTTGTGTCTTTAAAAAGCTGATTTTTTCTTATGTTGACTTATTCATCATCGAGAAATGGAGGAACGAGGCAAGATATAATTCGATTGTTCCAGCTATGCCCACAGCGCGAGATCTATACAGCAATCAGTGTCTGGAGACAAATATCAATACCGACGCATCTTAAATAGTAATAATTTAATATATGTACTATTTTTTTTAAGGTTGGTGGTTGGTTGACCGTGAAGGCGAGTTAGGCTGGGCTCCTGCGTCACATCTGGAGCCTAGTGATGATGGGGTAGAGATCACTGCCTCCAGAACCTTTGCACCTGGTCAAGGTAGATGTTACACAAGCTTATGTAACCTTAAGTATGATTGAGCAACGCGGAGAAACACTTAAACAAGAAAAGTAAATTAAAGTAAAAAGCAACAACAGACATTATATCATCTTTCCCATCGTCCTCCATAAATGGTATTTTTTTGCTATAAAAAGTGATCATGATCGAAAGCTTGGCCTAAACTACACCGATAATTTTGGAAAGTTTGGTTCATAATACTTTAAAGGTAACTTTATGCGGCATATTATAAGTAATATAACCACGTCAATAATGGTGTTTTTTTTTTCAATTTTAATGCGCAGAGGAAGCATATCAGTCGATGCAAAGCTATGAAGCAAGAGCTGAAGACGAACTTTCTTTTGACATTGGTGTTACCCTCAAAGTTGTAGAAAAGAACCTAGATGGATGGTGGCTAGCTAGGTAAGACAGTGATAGAACGTTTTTAGTAGTTGCAATAATAACTGAAATGGTTTACACACAATGCCTGAATACACACATGACCACATGACACTGAAATCTCCCAAAATTTCAAGCGCCGGATTCCACCTTATTACAACAGATCGCTCAGCGATCCACCCTTAACACTTTGCTCAAATATACGTGGGCCCCAGACCTCCCACAAAATACTCTCCGACTCACGCTAGGCGATCGCTATTTAAGGGGTTATCACATTTACATGGTTTTTAAGTTAGAAAATGACTGACTGTTTTTACTTTTGGGTCGATCGTTTGAAAATTGAGTGATTAAGAGGTAGCAGTAACGAGTTTGCCAAACGATAATAGGCATAAGTAATATTAAAACCTATCTACTTTTACACTTCTTAGATACCAGGGCAAAGAAGGCTGGGTGCCTGCAGTGTTTCTGTTACGAGTAGTTGAGTCTGATGATTCTTCGCCTTCATCTAGTGGAAAAATTTGTGGACTGGGGGACATTGTGTCCTCTCAACGGGGTAGGTGATTTGTTGCATTGATTAATTTTATATTTACAGTTTTGAACATTTCCTTATTCCTTCCGTGTAGGAACTAGGTAAGGGAATTTGCATGGATCTACGTTTTTCATTTTAACAAGAGAGCTGAGCAGTCACACGTCAGTAGTTTCGACCCCATACTAAACCATAATAAATGCTTTATAGTTTAAATTTACCTATTTGGTGTTTTTCTACTTCATCCACAGGCCAAATAATATTTCGAGGTTTCCTTTGTTCTTTTCTACGAAAGAAAAATCATGATCCAAAGTAGCGTTACTGAACTACTGGGCAGGCGTGTCGCTCATTCTTTTTCATGGCTACTTTAGTGGTCTCCCTCGCAGCCTGTTTTGTCACGTCACGAACGCCCTTCCCCATAACTCCAATCCATCTTTCTAGAATGTTTATACTTTTTTACTGGGCTTCGACCTGACCTATGGGGAGGGCCAGGAATGAGACACGCGGGTACCATGCGGGGTACCCTCCCCCCCCCCATTCCCACATTCCGTAAAGACAGAACACCAGCGGTTGTGACCAGGGTTAAGACTATGAGGTTTGGTGTGGCTGTTGCCGTAGGAATTGATTCCTATCTTCCTTTCTAAGTCTGGTATTTAACGATTGTAACCAACTGAGCTAACCAGTAATCCTATAACGTTAATTGATTAACGCAACCATTTTTTCATAATAGTTTCTGAAGAAAGTGACAGTGTGACAGGCCGAAGATCACCTCCCACAAGGCGAATTCTGGTAAGTTCTTCCTCTGTCAATTTTTCGCCAACCTAGCGTTGCTTTTCACCGCTTCTATCTTACTTCTTTCTTTAAAACGTTTCTATATTTCATGAATAGCTTAATAAACGAGGAATTTCAATAATCGTTGGACTTTTATAAGAGCTAAACCCTTAAAACATTCATAAAATTGTAATTTCTTTTTTTTAAAATTCGTATTTCCTTAGTAATGGATTATCATCGAAAATTGCATTTACTATTTTTTCGTTTTCCGGCAGGTTAAGCGATCGATCAAAAAGAGGCCAAATAAAAATGTCACTCCTCCTCAGCCCACTGAAAGAAAGCCGAAAGAAAAGGAACAAAATCAGGGAGATACGATATCTTTTTCAAGCGGATATCATACCTCTTCAAGCAGCAGTCTGTCCTCTCTAGTTTCAGATGTTTCTATACCTGAAACGGAAAGCGTTGTGCAGTGTACATTACCGGGTAGTTCTCATAGCTGTGTAGTAAGCTCTGCTCCAAAACAAGTTTACTCCAGCTCAAATCTTGTAACAACATTAGCACAGGATGCGAATACATCCGGGTCTTCTGTGAATGGAAGTGCACTGAGCTCAGGAAGAAGAAGTCCCATTCCATCACCAAGAAGTAAAAGCCCCAGACGCAGCCCCCAGCCGAGAATTGATGAAATTAGAGCAACTCCTGTAGAGTTCATCTCTGAAAAGGAGCAAGAAAATGATTCTCAGATCACGAGGTATCAAGCCATATACACGTACATCTCTCAAGACAAAAACGAAATTACCATTAACGAGGGAGACATAGTGGAGGTACTTAAGCGGAGCAGCAATGGCTGGTGGCTTTTAAGCGCAAATGATCATCAGGGTTGGGGTCCATCAAATTTCTTGCAACCAGTGTAAATGGACGGAACTTTTATTTAGAAGAGGAATCTTTCAGGGAATTCCGGAATGCTTGCTTAGTCAGGGAAATGCTACTTCCAAAGTGAAATGTAATTTGAAATGAGACATCACTTATTTTAGTTTTGTCATTGACACAATACAAGTTCGGAAAGAACAAAAAGTGCGGAAACCTGAATTAAAGTCAGCTAGTTTTATCCATAAGAAGTTGCAAATATTTTCTTATAATCAAAATACTATAATTGTTAACTTTTTTAAGCTTTTGATATAATATATAGTACAGGTTGCTATTTGCCGACAGAAACTTAATATTTCGCTACAATAAGTTCGTAAGGACTCCGTAAGCTAAGTTTAAAAGTGAGCGTCATCTTATCCTGAAAGACTATTTTTAGATACATAGCAAAGTGGAATAGCAGGATGGTGTCCCAGTAACGAAGGCCCTGTCAACAAGGGCTTTAAACAATGCTCAGCAAGAAAATAAGAAGTTCGAGACGATTGACGCTAGAATCAAGATACAATAACTAATACAATAATCACTTGAAATAAGGGCTAATAGAGAAAAAAAATGTGAAATAGGTTAACGTAATTCAAAATTAAAAATGAGCCGAAATTTTTTTGTTCATGGTGTATTAGTACTACAGGCAGCCAAAGCTCAGTATATGAGTGCAAATGGCAAGGCTGGATGGTTTAAAGCGTAAACGCGTTGTTTTCGCTTCGGTCTCTCGCACTAGACGAATTAAGGCACGATTACATCAAGGTCAACGTAAGGTACTTCGTCGGTTAAAAGTAATGTGGCAAATAACGGCAAAAGAATCACACATTTGCAAATAAAAGTCTGAGATACCACTGGATTGTTTGCGTGAACGCTACTGTTACACTAGAGGATTCATAAATTTTTCGGATTCAGGATTCCGGACTTATTTTATTGAGGGTGATTCGGATCATTTCGTAAGCGTTGATAGAGTCTTCATTCTAAAAACGCATTCGGATTCCCAACAGTTTACACACATCGATAATACTGGGTGGCTTAAACAAAGACGACGGCGACATCAACGAGAACAAAGTCAAAAAGCAAAAGGCTTCAAGTTTTGCATCTGTAGCACGCTTTTTGGTACATTTCTTTGCCAATGGAGAACGTGAAAATGAGTTTTTCTTTTCCAGTTCAAACTTGGGAGCGGTCCCCAAGGATTCAACTCCAGTGAAATTCACCTACATTTGCCGTTTTGAGCAAATTGGAATAAACGCAGAAAAGTTTTAAAGCGCGAATTCGTTTTAATAGTGACGTATTTGCTACCCTCGCCATCAATATTTGTAAAGCACCCTATATTCACGAACGTGGCACTTACATTTTGGTTTTACCGCAAACTCTGATGATTGGAGGAAGAAAGTATTATGATTCGTTGGAAGAACTGTTTACTTTACAAAACATTGAGAAATTAAAATTAAGGTAATTAGATACCAATTTTTCACTTTCGATTCGGATTCAAAATCTTCAGAGACTTGACCAAACCGGGAACTTTTTTAAAAAGGCGACAAAGAATTTTTCAGTTTACTTAGGGATGTCATAAACGCTTAGGTTTACAGTAACCTTACCTTTGGGGACATTGTCGAGGGGGTGGGCGATTTGCTGAGTTGTTCGTACCACTGAAAAAATCCTGGCTACGCCCCTGATTAAGGCAAAGTTTATCAGAATAATCCAACTAGCCTTGAACCTAGAAAAACTTGATGCGAAAGAGTTTGGGGGCAACTACAGGGCAATTAATAAAGATTTCTCATTCGTCATAGACCTTAGATAACATTAGCAGGAAGAAAAAATAAGAGGTTTTAGTTTTAGTCGCTTTATTCTTTTTTTGGGCATTTTATTCATTGCATAAACCTTTCATGGTGGACTAAAGGGACAACATAAAAAAATATATATATATATTTCCTTCTTACTGGGAGCACTTTGCCAAACCGCTGCAATAGCCACGTAATAATGTTCCAATGATTTCTTCCTGTCACTCTATGTGTGATTGACTTAATACATGAAGAGGCTAAGGTCTTACTTGATTAACCGTATTCCGGTTTATTACGGGCGACAAGAGGAGCCCGCAATCCTAATTTCCAGGTTGTTATTACGCATGCGTCGTTTGAACTTCCACTAAGAATGTATGGAATGCACAGAACACACTTTGATCATGCACGTTTGGACTTTCTATCACTCTTAATGTGATCACGCTTGTTTTGAGCATCTGTCACGTGAAACATACGCAACGTACAGCCCTGAAGCAAAAGCTTTTAGACCTCCCATCGTTGTCGCCCACACTCCTTAACCTTTGGTTATAACTAGTTACTAAGAATAAATGGATTAAACTCTAGTTTTGCATTCATTGCATTACTATGCCTATGATGCTCCTTGAAACAAAAAGTATGGCAAAGTATAACTCCAAAAGTCAAGGAAGACTTGTGACAAAACTTGCGTATCCTTATTCCGTAATACGATCAATCGAAACCACCCTAAACTGATCTATTGTGTTCACCCACACCAAACTGCGTGCTTTGTTTATGTCCAGCCAGCTGAGTCAAGGACTTGTATAAGGAGGCCTACACATAAATACACTGATCTTATAGCTAAGTCCAGTTCACTGAACAGAGCTGTCCTTGTCACTTGCAACATGTCCACAGAGGGGAAGACAGTGTTTGAAGCATCTGTTACCGGAACTTTTCCATCGAAGAATAATGGAACCGTCCCTGAGGTTTGCCATTTCTTTGCTTTTGCGTGTTTAAATACCGTGTTTTCGCGAAACCCAGGTGTGACTTGAAAAGTGTTGGCAAGATCTGAGGAAGAGTTTAGGGGCATTAATGGCACAGCTGATCTCAACGTTAGCAATTAGGAAGTTTCTTTCTTTAAATGTTAGTAATAAAAAATAAGCGACAACATTGGAAGACCAAGCGTTAAAGTAATTAGCTTTTACAGTGTACGTGTTCTGTGGAAAACGAATGACAGGAAATGCATTTGTTATAAAAAAGTGAAAAAGTAAGCTTTCTTGGTTCAAACTATATGAGTACTGACAGTATTCTGGCAAGCGTTACTAGTTTCTGTCTGGACTCGGACTTCATATCTTAACTTTTACATTTATTCCCCTATCAGGCATATAAAATCACAGTTCTGTACTCTGATGGGAGCAAAATTGCGCTACGGAAAACATATGAAGATTTCATTGAGTTGCAGGTACGTTTCAGTTGATCGATGTGAAATAAGAATTAACTAAATATTTCAAGATTCCACTCCAAAATCATGTTCAAGTTGTATAGCGATACTCAGTAATAAAACCGAGTATATTGAAGATGATAATTGATATATAGCCTGTTTTTGTAAAACGTAACAGTTCGCCAGTTTGCATTCTTTGTACTGGAGAGTATTGTACTTTACTGATCACCTTGGGTTTAGGTCCAGACAATGAAAGGGAAGGCAGGCGTTAAGTCTGTAATCAAATTTAAGAATTGTAGTACTGAAAACTACATGTATACTACTTTCACATGCATACAGTTTAACATAGATTTTCGTAAATTAAAATTGAGAACCATTTAAACATGCCAAACAGCAACGGTTAATTTCATCAAAACTTCAATTCTTCAATTCTCACAGGCGTATGTACTGTCAATACAGTCAATAGCTGTCAGAGAATCTCTGCAGAATGAGAAGAATTAAATGCGCGCATTAAAGTTTGAGTGGTTACGAACTAGACCAGGAGATTTCTTCAAGCGCTATTTCATTTACGTGTGTTACTCAAAAGCTCAACAACCAAGAACTCTCACGCTGGGACCACTTAACTGTGGTCTAGTTGTCGAGACGCTGGGCAAAACTGCGTTCTTCAGGCCAATTAACGATTCAATACACGGGCACTTCAAGCGTGAGGGTACCGTGTGATGTTACGTAACATGATGGCACGCGTAACAACGTTTGGTATCGTATTACATAATATCATCATGATTGCTAGCTAATGTAAGGATATGCACCAGAATCCGAGTAATACTGAGATTGAAGAAGATAAATATACGCAAACCCCCCTTCAGTTCTCAGTACACGAGGAAGCCGTATCTTACTTTAATGATGTCCATTGCTTACCGCTTCCTGTGACGACAGACTTATTTCCTGACCAGTTTGTTTCCCGTGCAGTAGTCACTCATAAAGAATGCCGAGAGATAGAGGGAGCAAGAAATCACTTATTAATAAATGCTCCTGACTAAAAAAGACGATGAAGCTGTTGGATTGAAGTGTGTCAGTTAGTTATGTAGTTATTTCTTCCATTCCCAATCAAACTAGCTTAGCCGGAAAAATATTTAATTCTAAACTGATACCACAGTCTGCATTTTGGCAAACGCTGACAAATAGAAATCTACTGGCCTCAATTGGCTGGAGAAAAAAAATTTTAACTTATGTTTTTGGAGTGTTGCTCTTCGATTTGATTTGTAATCAGTTTAACTACGCTTTCATGCTTCCGCTCCGCCGAGTGCTCCATTGTATCAACACTTAAGCGTCTTTAGTGCTCGCTGTTATTCCCGTCTATTAAGACGTACTTAATTCGGTTCACTTACTTCATTTCGATCGTTTTAGCTGCTGGTGGATATGAGTAAATTATTTTATTTCTGAACTGTAACCAGTATAAAAAAACTGTATGTTCTATAACAAACTACAGCTACAGTTAGTATGAATAATACTGAATAATAATAATAATAATAATAATAATGATAATAATAATAATAATAATAATAATAATAATAAATTATGTTCTATAACAAACTACAGCTACAGTTAGTATGAATAATACTGAATAATATTAATAATAATAATGATAAATTATAATCGAATGCAAATAGTTACTATCATTGCACTGCGGGGTTCTCGCAATTATCGACAATTAGTTAGATACAACTTGACCTGATTTCCGTATAAAACCTCCATCCTCCATTCATATATCCTCAGGAAGTTATTCATGCTGTGAAAATTGTAAGCTTAAGCCCTTTTAAAATTTCCTTTAATTTCAGGGCACGGTTTATGACTTACTCAAGCAAAATTGTGGTTATTCAAAGAAGACTGCAAAATCTCTTGTCAAAAGCTTACCAGGTATAGTGATATGCTTATAAATCATTGCTGCTCTGATAGGCAACGGCAAAATATTAATTTTTTCTCAAAATATGTAGTTTCAGTAAGTGACCGGCAACTGTTCGTCACTAGGATGCCTAAAATGTGTGCAATTCCACAATTGATTTCGGCCTCAGTGTTTCAGTCGATTGACTGTAGATTCAAAATCTTGCATCCAAATACTCTGAAGGTATCAAAAGATTGTTTAAGCATCATGAAATAGTTATTTTGGATGAAATTGAAGACTCTTTTTCGAATACAGGGTTCACGACTTAAGTTTTATCACTAAGAGAACTCAAAACAGGCTTCTATTTTCCCTTCGTTTTATCAGCCACAGACGTTCAATGCCGAGGAGAAATCCAGTGCAGTAGTTTGTTCAATTTTGTAAAACCCATTTTTCTTCAAAAGTCTATTCTTGTTTATAACAAAGCAGTCCTAAGTTTTTGAAGAGTTCGAGCATCACCCAAAGTAAATAAAGGTTCAACCATTTTCAAATATTTTTTGCACAGTTTAAACGTCTTAACTGCAACTTTCGTTACTCTTTCATTTTATTTTTTTCCAATACATAAAAACGAACATCTTATTTTATTAAATATGACACAAATCTTTCTCTTTAACTTATCGAACAAATAACATGTTACAACTCGTAAATTGCAGTTACTGTACCTTATAGTGTTTTTGTTGTTGTTTTTTTTAATTTCTTTTTTTCCTATGTACTTTTGTCACCATTGTTATTGTCAATAAAGTGCTATCGAAATTAATTAAAAACTATTTTTGTTAAAAAGCTATGAGTATAGAATAGAAAATAAAATGCACGTTAGTTGAGGCCCTGTGTTTACATCGTCACATCATCTAGCATCTAGTTGATAAGACTTTCCTTTTCTTGGCAGAGTTGAAAAATTCCTTCTCCCAAAGTCTTTTCAAAGAGGACGATTTGAAAAAGATTCAGAGACTGGAAAAGTTTATCAAGGTAAAAACATAAGTTGGTTAGGATCGAGGGGAAATTTTTTTCTGTTGGGTGTGGAGCAAAGAACATCGGCACCATACAGAAGTCATATCGACAAGCGACTCAAAAGCTAAAACAGAATGCGACGTGCAGGCCTGGGTTCCATTTTCTATAATCTCTATGAAACGGATTCTTTCAAACGTCGGAAGCTCAGTTAACTGCCGGCTCCAGCTAATGAGCTGAGCTTCCTGTAACCTACATCTATCCTAGATTACCACTAAACCGGTATTCCTAACTACAGAAAACAATAAACATGAAATGTGATTTGGCAGTATCCTTTATACGTATAACACGCCTGGAAAACTGTTTCAGTTATTTTTGCTCAGTTTACCAGGAGAGTCAGGACTACTCCCATGCAGTTTCTGTTGTTAAAGTTTTCAATAATGGGATTATCACTCAGTTAGATATATAAACTGGAATTTAACTTAGTTATGAGAGGTTTATAAAGGTGGACAGAAACCGGGCCCAATCGGATTATTATAGACCGTCCTACCTTAGTGTTTCAGACAAAACCTTTCCTACATCTTGACTCTAACAACAACTCTTTTTGTATTCGTAGGATTTGCTCATCCTTCCAGCTGTGGTCCGAAATTCAGAAAGCGTCAACAAATTTTTTGGTGCATTTTTGGAAAAAACAGTAACATGTGAAAGGTTTGGCCGAAGAAAGTTACCTTTTTAACTAAAGAGTGACTGTAACATTAAAATCTAATGATACATTTTGTTACTTAGGTCAAAAAACGAGGAAGAGTTAAAAAAAGTCAATAAAATGATCGAAGTTTTAAGTGGTACGTAAATTTTATGATTAATATCCAATTTCCACCTTCTATCTATCCATCCATCCATCTGTCAGTCTGTCGGTCCGTCCGTTCATTCATTATTCATTCAATCCGCATCCAATTCTTAGATATTGAATTGAATTGTCGTTTATGACCGTTTATGGTATTTCCTCTTTCAATAAAAAGCCATTGTCCTCAAAACTATTCTGAAACCATCCATTTTTAGGACGAGATCCTCTCCGAACCTTACCAAGGAGTCTAATATTTTCAGACGACCTAAAGTCCAAATGCAAGAGTCCCCCACGACCCGGTCTGTTTGGGAGAACAATTTCTGAGCCAGGTATCAGGGCAAACACTACTCGTGCACCAGTCTTGACAAAGAGACAGTTTAGCGTTGGTGTTGGCATTGCCGAGATGTTCAAGGAGAACTTAAACTTTATATCAAACATGACCCAAGCGGAACATTCGCAAAGTGCTGATGCGCCGCGCATTCAGCCTCCTAGCGAGACGAAGGAGAATCACTCCAGAGGTGAAGATACCACTGAAGATACAGAAGAAACCATAACTGGAATAGGGGAGCCTTGTATCCAAATGAAATCAGCTCAAAGTGAAAATAGCCCCAGAGGAACAAAGTATTTGGCTATCTCGTCATATGTCGCGGAGGAAAGCGGAGAGGTATCTCTTCAACCCGGAGAAGAAGTCGAAGTCTTCGAGAAACGTTCCAGTGGATGGTGGTATGTGAAAAAGGAAATGGAAGAGGGATGGGCACCAAGAACATTTCTTGAACCAGTTCCGGTACTCGGGTCAAAATCTCCCAAAACACTGGATCTGTCTCAATGCAAAGAAATATTGGATGGCATTAATTGCGAAGGACCAATCGTGAGAGAGAGTGAGATGGGATTCCAAGTGCAAGAAAAACAGAAGGTACTTCATCTCATTGGTCAATCATGTTGTCCTTCACATAAAATGCCATAAGAGTTTATTCTGTTCTTGGAAAGTTCTAAAACTGTTTCAGTTTTTTGACTGATTTGTAGTGAATAATCTCCTTATCATTTACCATAAAATCGGCCGAGTTCTGTTTTTCTGTCAATCCCTGTAGCAATTGAGAGTAGGGCAGTATCGAGAGCAAGGGCAAAAGTGAAAGACAACCAGTGTAGAACTTAACAGAAGTGGGAGCATAAGGCAAAACAGAGAAATTAAAAACCAGCCCACCAGTTCCAATGCCAGCTTACAGACTTGTAGTGAAACCTGCATTGTTCTACCTTTTTTGGATCAGTATTCAGCGGAGAAGACTCCCTGTGTACGAGTCGTACGAGTCTTATGTTTTGGAGGAAGAATCTGTATTTAGCGAACCATTAGCAGGGTTCCCGTGGATGTCCTATGGAAACAGGGGTTATTGTAATATTGATACCCTACATACTCGGGTGTAGTTTAACAATAGTAATCTGTTTTCTAAAATATGGTCTCTTTCCTCTGTTACGTCATATGTGAATGTCATGAATGAATGTCTACAGTATTCCGGAAAGCTTATCAAGTCACACATGAAAAATTCTCCAGCCTGGTATGAGCACCTGTTCGTACTGCTGCTGGTAGAGACACCTATCCAACAGGAGCCATCTACTTTTAAGATTTGCGTGGCATAGATTCGCTTCGAAATCGTCTTTTTTCTGTGTGAGCAAAAGCCCAATTTGATATTGTTTTCGGAAGCAGTGTAGAGATAGGCTTAGTAGAGGGTCTGAATGGTGGGTCCACTTATCGGTTGTCGGTTAAAATCTACTTACTTTGTCGGTAGTCAAATTTTTCTTTCAAATTGTGTCGGTAGCCTCTGTCCATCGAGCGTTCTTTTGAAATTTGAAACACTTTCCTCAAACTCCTTTGACAAATCAGTGGGCGACAAGGGGCGAAATGTGTGCTGGCAGGTTTCCTTAGTCTTTACATCAAGGATAACATTTTCTTTGAATCTTGTGCCTTAGTATACAACTGTGTCTAAGAACATCGTCTCAGTGAATTTCGGTGGTGAATTTAATAGTAGGATCATGTAAGTTTGCTTCTTCGAAGAAATTTACGATGTCTGGTTTAAAGAAGGTTTTGCTTAGACTTTGTTTTTCAATATATGGCATGAAAATGTTGACATAGGAAACTGATGTCCTTGTGTCCATCGCAAAGACCATCGCGGTACCGTGGGTTTGTAAGTAGAGCTTTCCATTGAACTAAAAAAAATTTCTTTCAGTATTAATCTAAGCACTTCTGTCGCAGGTAATGTGTAGGACTAGGCGGGTTGCTTTGTAGAAATTTTCATACGCTCTGCAAACCGATTTCAATACCCTCGTTTTGTGGTATATTTGGAAAAAGACTCGTGACGTGGTATCTTTGGTTACTTCCTAGAAAGGTAGAAAAAATACAATATACTCTTCTCTCTGAAAGAAAATATAGATAATGTCAGTCCATGTTAGTAGTCGGTTAATATTTTTCCTGTCGGTAGTCGGTAATATTTTGTGCCCTTTGTCGCTAGTCGGTTAACCCCCTTCGCACCCTCTTAGTAAATATCACAAACGTGATCGATGTAAATGACGTAATAGGGAAAAGGATATTTGCATTTTGATGGTAATAGTAACAAAAAAGGTATTATATAATAGAAAGAAACTGCATTCCTTTTTTCTAAAAAAGATCTCCATACTTTAGAATTTGCAATAGTGTTCCTATGGGTCCGGAAAATTCGTTTAAAGACTATTAAATTTCGAATTTTTAACAACCTAGGGAAGCATGCATTAACTATGATGAAATACAAAACTTAATAACAAAGAAAAGAACGCAGACAAAATTTGAAGTGTTCCTGTTGACATGCATGTTTAACTTGATGATGGATCATGCAGGCTCTTCCCGGTTTATGTGCATAGCTAAAACTGAAATTTCATAGAGGCATAATCTACAGTTTACGAAGCAATCCCCTAGTTTCGGATCTCATTAAATGTTTGTATGAAAATGTTAGAGGACCTATCAGAAGGCGTGTAGAAAAGCACGACCATAATATCATATCTATAGAAAAAATATAAATAGAATTTCTATATATAAATAGATAGAAGTGCGGAAGTACATGAACGTGACCAGTAACAATTAAGTAACGTCATAGCCTTAAACTCATTGTTTTTTCAAGCTTCCTCAAGAGAAGGCAAAAAGAGGTTATAAAAACAGCTGAGCATTTTTTTTGTTACTTAGTCGCTGAGTCAAACCAGTGAAAACGAGTCACAAGAAACGGAATCAACTGAGATGGACCGAAGGGTAAAGCTTGTTTCAGTGGAAGGAATTCAGAAACGCAAGACCCCAGATAAAAAATATGTAAGTACTGCAAACCGGTTGGTTAGTAAATCACCTAGTGAACGGCGAATTCCAGAATGCCTTAATCTTGTTTTCAATAAAAATGGAATTCAGCATTAGAAAACCTTAGAAAATGTCATTAATTTTAGTCACACTTTCTGCAAATATTTTCCAATTACCGTCAGATTGAAAGGGGAGAGTCGGATCGTTGTTAATTGGTCCCGCAATCAGTAGGATTACCACTAACGAACCGATAGGCCTAAATCAGTTCAATTTATTGTCTTTGAGCTACTTATCGTCTACCTGTTGTTCGCCTAAGTGAAGTTAACGGCTCGTCAGTATACACAGACATTATTAAGGTCAAGCCAACAAAAAGCGTACACTAATTAATTAACTGTATGCAATAGCTGCCTTATATTTTTTATTAGCTGTTACTTCTCCTTATTCAGCAAATAGTGCTGGAGAACGCATCAGTGTTTTGTAAAGGGGTTTAAGAAATATCCTAAATGCAAAATTTTCCTAATTTGCCCCCGTCTAGGTTTACATTCTCAAAGTGCTGTGGTCGGACGGAAATATTAACATCATCTACAGACAGTGCAGTGATTTCTACTTTCTACAGGTTTGAAACATAATAATTGCGTTAGGCGAAGGCGTGGAACGTTTCATGAAGCTTATCAAATTATAATTTGGGTCTGAAAGTTGATCCAAACTCCTTGCAGGGGAAAACTTAACTCAAGACAGACGTCAAACTTTTCATGAACTTTAGATCGGCTCAATTTGGTTCGTCTTATCAATGAAAAGTTCGATGTTAATGTCCTTAGTTAGTCTTAAATAAATTTCTTGTTCTCACTTAGACCAACTTTAGAAGTCGAACTTTTCACGGACCAATATCTAAATGCCACTGAGGCAGAACAATAGACTTTGCCATAAGCATTATATTTGGCAGAGTGAACGAGTTTGACTCTTGAAAAAGGTCTTGAAACAGACCTTAGAAGGAGCAGTTTCCACTTCAGTACTGGCCAAGTATCAAATTTCCTGGTTGACGATTCCATTGTTGACTTGACCAAAGGGCTGATACTGTGGCCGCCATCTCTTTTTCATTGGGAGCTAGTGCCCAGCAATCATTTTCGCTCCGTTGACAGTTTTTCGAGCGATATCACTCAGTTTTCCTTTTCAGACGTTTGATTAATTAAAAAAAACTATCATATATGAACTATGGATGCAAATTTGAATAAAGAAATATTCATTGCAGCTAATAAGTAGATTCAAATCCAATGATCTTCCCTTAACCCGCCAGTTTGATGCAGTCCGGTCAGCTGTGTTATTAAGCAGCATTGACGTCAGAACCTGGTTATTATAAGTCTTTATTTCATTTGATTTGTTCCTTATTGTGGGGAAAATTGATCGCTTTTATTAGGATTTGTGTTTGAAAAAAATTTTCAACTGCATTTAAATCCTTTTCCAATGCGACACCCAAACTGGGAGCCAAATTGAAGTTGTTTTTACTAATTGATATAAAGACATACATGTACTGAAAATTCCTTTCAAACCCACTATAGTTTTTAACATATACTGCTATTTCGAGAAAGGTTTTAGGGTAAAGTGCACGCGACAACCCCGAAAGGTATTGTCGGTGGTTTTGAGTCCACTGTTTTTCAAAGAAATTTGAAAGAATGGCAGGAGAGGTCATGCACATATGTTTGCGAGTGTTAAAGGAAAGCAACAAAAGTAGATTCGACAGCTAGAGTGTCAGGGACAGTGTATTGAGCATATTCCATATTACCTAACGGGATTGTCGATTTCTTTCTTTCTCGAAATAGCTGTAAACAGAAATGCGGGTAATTAAGCTATCCTTATACAAGCTGAAAAAGGGAATAGTAATAAATAATTTCCAAATGTGTTAGTTGTGAGAAAATTGTGTAGTCTTTATTGACGTCCGAACTTGGTTAAGTCCTTATTTCATTTGATTTGTTCCTAGTATTGGTTAGGAAACTTCATCGCTTTTATCAGGATTTGTGTTTGAAGAAAATTTTCGACTGCATTGAACTCCTTTTCCACTGCGACGCCCAAATTGTTTTTACTAATCGATGTAAATAAAGACATACATCTACTGAAAATTCCTTTGAAACCCACTTGTTTTTAACATAAAAACGCAAAGGCGGGTAATTAAGCTATCTTTATACCAGTTGATAAAGGGAATAGTGAGAAATAATTTCCAAATATGATCGTTGTGAAAATATTGATTATTTTTCCTATAGGAAAACCTCAAAAAAGAATTTCCGAAGGGCACTGGCAAAGAAATTCCCGTGTTAAAAGGTGAGAAAATAAAATGACCTAAATGCTCCGAAAATTAATTCTGTGGTCACAATGAAGGGTTTAGTTGCTAAAGAAACTATGATATCGATACTGCGTTGTTGGGAGAGGAAATCCGACGAAGGGACGTCAGTTTGTCAATCTGTTTAAGTTGGCTTTAAAATTTTCTGACTTTATTGACTCATTTGATCGACCTATAATTTTTGTTTTGGTCATAACTAGTTAGGTTCTCGATCATGATCAATATACAAAAATGATTCAACTCAATACAATTCCGGTTTGACGTTGATCTTTTTCAGGAAGAAAATTTTCTGAAAACTGCGAGTTTTGCTTCAAGGATGGAACATGCAAACGAAGACAGTCTTTGAACAAGTTTTTTCACGTGAGTATAGAAACAAGATGAAGGAAAATTGGTCAGTAAAATTGTGGAAATCTACTCAGATTATCCCTTCGCGATAAACACGATTTCCTCAAATCGAATGGCTTAGTAAATTGTTATTATTTATCTTGTGAATTTTCCTAGTTACTAGGAGCTCAATTTTATGGTTTTAATTTGTTCATACTAATTTTCCCTTTTTTTTCCTTCATTTTTTATAAGGACCTTATCAACGCTCCTGATGATATTTCAAACTGCCAAGCTGTCCTCCTCTTTTGTCGGGCTCGACTCAGTGATTTGCGCCCTCATGAAACGTACGTAACCTGATTATTCTGATGATCACACGTAGCTTTCTCTCTGACCTTAGATATGTCGATTCTGATTAACATCATCATAATCTTCACTATTACCACCACCACCACCACCACCACCATCATCATCATCATCATCATCATCATCATCGTTGTTCATCGTCGGATTATCATCGATCATTATGGTTATACTGTCTTTCAACCAGAAGTAGTTAAAATTTATACAATTTGAGACACTAACCAAGAACTTAGGTAAGGAATTCGAATTCTGCTACTTCAACGTATTTATATTAATAAGAGGGTTATCTTTTTCTGTCTGCATTTCTGTTAGACATTAGATGAATAACAAAGGGGTGTCAGTAGAACGCCGGGTTGGGGCCGGGGTCGGTGTCTATGCTGTTTTAGGGTTAGGGTTAGGTTGAGGGTTAGTGTCAATCGTAACCCTGACCCTAAAATAGCATTCTCTAAAAAAAAAAAAAAGACCCGGACGCCGACTCCGACCCCGTGATTTACTGACACCCATAAAAAGTTGGCAAAATTTGAAGGAGGTGATGAAAGGTGTGCATTAAATTTTTAGTAATAGAGAAAAAAACAGTATGACTTTAATATAAATTTTAAAGCCAAAAACTGCCAAAACTATTCGTTTCATTTTTTGTTTTGTACTTTCTTCATTTTCAGATCTAGCAAAGCTAACAACAAGACCAATGAAAGTAAGTGACAAATGCAAACTATGCGCTTTTCGCTTTTGCTTTCAAAAGGACAAACAGAGAGTTGACTAGAGATTGAAACTGCCTCAGCCCTTTTGAGTCCACGTACTCTCATTGTCAGACAAAGTCCACAACATACTAGCTAGGATAAGGAACTACACAAACTAAAAACAAACGATGATGGGATGAACAGTGCTTTCTGTGTATGCAAGAAATAATTTTCAAGTGGGAATTTCTTTCTTAACTCTTTTTTTTATTGCAGGTGATAATAACAGCGGTGTTCAGATATCAGGACCTGTGGTGTTTGAACAGTACATAGCCATTGCTGACTACAAAAAGAAGAACAAGAACGATATTTCACTGACAGCTGGTGACACTGTTGATGTTATCGAAAAGAGCGAGTTCGGTAAGGAATATTAAAGCGAAACCAGGTTTTCAGCCAACTTTGTTTACTTCTTAAATGTAAGTTCATGAACACTTAATCTAACTGTTACTGCATTCTAAAGCAGTTTCATTCATAAGTAAAACTAGATTTTATGTCTTAATCCTTTACAATTATCCGGAGTGGTCGCTTCTAACCTCAAGTTGAGCTTTAGCCAAACGTACCATTATACGTCTTATTCGGGCCGGACTTCATAAAAAACTTAAAGCTCCCACCACTGTTTTTTTGTGTCTTTAAAAAGCGGATTTTTTTATGTTGATTTATTCATCATCGAGAAGTGGAGGAACGAGGCAAGATGTAGTTAGATTGTTCCAGCTATGCCCACACCGCGAGATCTATACAGCAATCAGTGTCTGGAGACAAATATCAATACCGACGGATCTTTAATAGTAATAATTTAATATATGTACTATTTTTTTTAAGGTTGGTGGTTGGTTGACCGTGAAGGCGAGTTAGGCTGGGCTCCTGCGTCACATCTGGAGCCAACTGATGATGGGGCAGAGATCACCGCCTCCAGAACCTTTGCACCTGGTCAAGGTAGATATTACACAAGCTTATGTAACCTTAAGTATGATTGAGCAACGCGGAAAGTAAATTAAAGTAAAAAGCAACAACAGACATTATATCATCTTTCCCATCATCCTCCATGAATGGTATTTTTTTGCTATAAAAAGTGATCATGATCGAAATCTTGGCCTAAACTACACCGATAATTTTGGAAAGTTTCGTTCATAATACTTTTAAGGTAACTTTATGCGGCATATTATAAGTAATATAACCACGTCAATAATGATGTTTTTTTTTTCAATTTATATGCGCAGAGGAAGCATATCAGTCAGTGCAACGCTATGAAGCAAGAGCTGAAGACGAACTTTCTTTTGACATTGGTGTTACCCTTAAAGTTGTAGAAAAGAACTTAGATGGATGGTGGCTAGCCAGGTAAACAGTTAGGGACTGTTTTTTGCAGCTGCAATAATAAAATGATTTACACACAATGTCTGAATACAGATATGACACTGAAATCTCCCAAAATGTCAAGCGTCGGACCGGATTCCACCTTACTACAACAGATCGCTCAGTGATTCACCCTTCACACTTTGCTTAAATATATGTAGGCCCCAGGCCTCCCACAAAATACTCTCCGACCCACTCCAGTCGATCGCTATTTAAAGGGTAGTCACATTTACATGGTTTTTAACTCGTGGGTACGCGCGAGCGTACCACGAGTTATTGCAGGGACTGAGATATGCAAATGAGTCACTCACTCACTCGTAGTAGACGCACTTCGTAATTAATCGGGTCCGAACTCGAGAGCGCGAAGATCTATCGTTTCCAAAGAAGGATGCGCTCGCCGAAGTTCGGTAGCATCAAATTCATCGCTGCGAGCGTGCATCGTGCGCTACAGCACGGTTAGGATCGAGGTCTTACCAAATTTAAGACAGGCAGGAATCTTTCAAATTAGTACGATTCAAAAGCCTTTGACCCGTCCAGCCGTTAAACTTGACAAGAAGATGAGCATTTGCTCTTCGACTCCTTCAACTTCGACGCTGGCTTGATCTCCTACCTTGTAGCACTGTAGTAGGTTATGTGTATGAATGAATTTATGGCCGTCAGTATAAAACACGGACTGCGGACTACGGACTGCGGACTGGGTATAAAATACGGGCTATAAAATACGGACTGGTGAAATGTATGGTATTTTCTTCTTAAGGACTCCCCAAGACCACGGGGGGAAAATGGATGTGAGTTTGAGCATTACCTTTTTAATATAACAGCGGAAATCGAGATAAGAAAACATAAGCTAATGTTTTGCGTCCTTCTTCGCGGAGGAGTTGTGTCGGCTTTGCATGAAATGCCTTTACTTGTCAGTAGCCTGGTTTCAATTAGCCTTAATTTCATCCCATTGCTTCGAGTCGTTTTTATGGCTCGCTCGTTTGCCGGCGGAAGTTCCATGGAAAAGGCATTAAATTTGAGACTTTTCGCCAAATCACGTGACGATCCTCAATGGCGTAGTGGCTATGTGAGGTCGGGTCAATCCGAAGGTACCGGGTTCAAATCCCGTTAATGATCTTCTTTTTCCCTTCTTCCTGTTTTTTTCTTTTTTGTTTTGTCTTGTTTGCTTATTTGTTTTGCTGTTTTTTTTTGTTTTGTTTTCAAATATATACTTAAATAACTGTTACTAAAGTGCAATAAACAGCAAGAAAAGTATTGTGTTTCCAGAACAAGGATAGTATATTTATCATGAATTTCTATCATTTTCTAAAATTCATTGTGGGAAAACCAGAGGTGATAACTACTTGATTATTTTCTAAACAACGTACCCACGAGTTGAGGATAGTCTTTCTTTGATTAAGTTAGAAAACGACTGACTGTTTTTACTTTTGGGTCAATCGTTTGAAAATTGAGTGATTAAGAGGTAGCAGTAACGAGTTTGCCAAACGATAACAGTCATAAGTAATATTAAAACCTGTCTACTATTACACTTCTTAGATACCAGGGCAAAGAAGGTTGGGTGCCTGCAGTGTTTCTGTTACGAGTAGTTGAGTCTGATGATTCTTCGCCTTCATCTAGTGGAAAAATTTGTGGACTGGGGGATATCGTGCCCTCTGAAAGGGGTAGGTGATTTGTTACATTGATCAATTTTATGTTTACAGTTTTGAACATTTCATTTTTCCTTGCGTGTAGGAACTAGGTAAGGGAATTTGCCTGGATCTACGTTTTTCATTTTAAAAAGAGACCTGAGCAGTCACACCTCAGTAGTTTCGACTCCATACTAAACCATAATAAATGCTTTATGGTTTAAATTTACCTATTTGGTGTTTTTCTACTTTATCCACAGGCCAAATAATATTTCGAGGTTTCCTTTGTTTTCAACATACTTTTCTACGATAGAAAAATCATTCCCCAAAATAGCGTTACTGAACTGCTGGGCAGGCGTGTCGCTCATTCTTTTTCACTGGGCTACTTCAGTGGTCTCCCTCGCAGCAGGTGTTGTCACGTCACGAACGCCCTTCCCCATAACTGCGATCCATCTTTCTAGAATGTTTATACTTTTTTACTGAGCTCTGACCTGACCTACGAGGAGGGACAGGAATGAGACACACAGGTACCATGCGAGGTACCCTCTTCTACCATTACCACATTCCATAAAGGTAGATTACCAGTGGCTGTGACCAGGGATAGTGAAATGTGATGGTGATGGCAAATCAGTTTTTCTTCCTTTCACAAGAAGAATAGAAAGTCTGCATTTTTGCAAACGTAAAGCAAATTTAGCACATATACTAATTGTTTAGTCTTTTAAGACCATGAGGTTTGGTGTGGTGGCTGCTACCTTTGGAATTGATCCCATGCCTACCTCCCTAAGTCTGGTATTTAACGACTGTAACCAACTGAGCTAACCAGTAATCATATAACATTAATTGTTTAACGCAACCATGTTTTCATAGTAGTTTCTGAAGAAAGTGACAGTGTAACAGGCCGAAGATCACCTCCCACAAGGCGAAGTATGGTAAGTTCTTCCTCAGTCAATTTTTCGTCAATCTCTTATAAAGCCTGACAAAAAGATAGCTAGCGTTGTGTTTTATCGCTTTATCTTTCTTCTTTCATCGTTTCTATATTTCATAAATAGCTTAATAAGCGAGGAGTTTCAATAATCGTTGGATTCTTATAAGAGTTAAACCCTTAAATGAGTTCCATTACACCTAAAAACATTCATAAAATAGTATTTTTTTTCGTATTTCCTTAACGGAGTATCATCGTAAATTGCTTTTACTATTTTTTCGTTTTCCGACAGGTTCAGCGATCGATCAAAAAGAGGCCAAATAAAAATGTCACTCCTCCTCAGCCCATTGAAACAAGGCCGAAAGAAAAGGAACAAAATCACGAAGATACGATATCTTTTTCAAGCGGATATCATACCTCTTCAAGCAGCAGTCTGTCCTCTCTAGTTTCAGATGTTTCTATACCTGAAACGGAAAGCGTTGTGCAGTGTGCATTACCGGGTAGTTCTGATAGCTGTGTGGTAAGCACTGCTCCAAAACAAGTTTACTCCAGCTCAAATCTTGAAACAACATTAGCACAGGATGCGAATACATCCGGGTCTTCTGTGAATGGAAGTGCATTGAGCTCAGGAAGAAGAAGTCCCATTCCATCACCAAGAAGTAAAAGCCCCAGACGCAGCCCCCATCCGAGAATTGATGAAATTAAAGCAACTTCTGTTGAGTCTATGTCTGAAAAGGAGCAAGAAAATGATTCCCAGATCACGAGGTATCAAGCCATATACACGTACATCTCTCAAGAGAAAAACGAAATTTCCATCAACGAGGGAGACATAGTGGAGGTACTTCAGCGGTGCAGCAATGGCTGGTGGCTTTTAGTCTCAAACAATCAACTGGGTTGGGGTCCATCAAATTTCTTGCAACCAGTGTAAATGGACGGAACCGTACTTATCTTTAGAAAGAGGAATCTTTCTGGGAATTCCGGAATGCTTGCTTGGTCAGGGAAATGCTACTTCCAAAGTGGAAAATTAATTTTAAATGAGACATCACTTAATAGCACTTGACAAGACTATTCGTTTTTGGTTTTGTCATTAACACGGTACTAGTTCGGAAACAACAAACAGTGCGGAAACTTAAATTAAAGTTAGCTAGTTTTATCGAGAAGATTCAAACATTTTCTTATAACTAAAATGCTATAATTCAACGTTAATTTTTTATATAGTACAGGGGCGGGGGGGTTGTGCAAAATTTTCGGTGCAACCTGCAGCCCATTTGCCTGAGATGTTTTCCTTTTCGCGCTAATCAGGCAAGCACGAATTTGAAAAATGTTTTGAGTCGAAAAACTCGAAAAAATTAATTGAAACCAAGAGAGAATGATCTGTGGAAAATCTTTAGAAACATGCTGTGTCAATTTTTTTTTCGCTTGAGCTGACATTTTAAGCGAGAAAAACCCGTATTTTGGAAAGCATCTTTTTTGCAAAACAAGGACTGATTACGCATACAAGCTATTAACAGGGGCACCCAACGAGAATATAGTTCAAAACCACTTAAACATAGCATTGTTGAATGTATTTTGGCATTTAAACGGTAGATATAGGAATACTTTTATCCCCTAAAATTTTTTTATCTGTTCGGATTTCCTAGCTGAAAGACTAGTGATCCGAAAATTATAGGGATCAAAACTTACCTTTTCGAAAATTTCAGCCAGATTAAAGGCTCCCGAAAATTCAAGGTGACCTTTTTAAGGTAAAAATCCGTTTAAAATGGGCAATTATACGGTTTTTTAGATGTTCGAAAATCCTAGGAGAGTCAGGCAAGCAAAAAATTTTACAACAAATGTTCCGAAAATTCTAGATCTCAAATCGTCTTCCGAACAGATATTTTCCAAAAATTCCGGTTGGGTGCCCTTGTATTAAGCTTCGTGTACAAGACTTTGCGACTCGGGTAAGAATTTCTCTTTTAATCAGTGCTCTAAAAAAGAGAGTTTTGCTTTTTTTCTCGGGAAACTTATGTTATAAAAGCAATAGAAAACCTTTCTCCTGTGTTTGCGTATCCTGATATAAACACTCGAGGGGTTGGGAGAATTCTCGACAGTTATGCAAACCCTCGACTTCGTCTCGGGTTCGTGTCGAGTTTGCATAACTCTCTCGAATTCTCCCAACCCCTCTCGTGTTTATATCAGGCAATGCAAACACAGAAAACGTTTTCTATTGCTTAAATAATGTCTAAGAGAATCGCGTATTATAGTTTACCACTAGATTCCTTTTTGCCGTGTGTCAATCACAGATGATTAACGTAACACTTTAGTAATTAAGTGGAAAATAAAAGATTGATTGACTGATTGATTGATTAATCGTATTGTGTAATTCAAAATGGCCGTGAATATAAAGGATTTGTATGGGAATTTAAGAAGATAATACTAGCGGAAATTTTCAATAAAAGAACGCTTTACCTTATTTACTTGGTATATTCTTGCTTCCTGTTGTTGTTATTTTCCCGATCCGTTGCGATTTAAGCGATTTCCTTTTTCCCGAGTTTTCACTAATAAAGAGTCCTCGCAACGGATTGGGAAATATCGAGTTTCCTAATAGGTTTACAAGTCATGGTTTACTCAAAATAAGTGTAAAGAAGATCATCACAGTTAAATACGCAAGTTACATGTATGCAGTTGCAAAAAGAAAGCCTGAGAAAATTCTGGCTTTCTGGGATTCGATTATCCAAGTTTCCAAAAAACGTTAAAATGTAACAGGTAGCCATGGTAGACTTCTGTAATGATTTTGATTGCTGGTGGGTTATCAGATCGTTCGGTCCTCCTAGGGGCCCTGTTCACCTCAGTAGCCTCATTCCCAGTGCTTTCTCTCTACTATAAATTGAATATTGACAAGTATTTGTGACGACCATTCAACATAAGCAAACGTTGCAAAGGATATACCCTGAGGAAGTTAAGCAATGAGCAAGAGAGCAGCTGTCAGGATGTATTCGCAACGGTAACCCATCTCTAGGTGGAAATTCGATGACATGTTTAATAAGATGATGGGACCTTTATTCTTTAAAGAAATTGATTCTAAATTTTCTTTCTTATCACTAAGACGCCCATAAACTGGCATGACAGTTTATGAAGTTTCCATGTGGCAGCTGCCAGAGTTTGCGTGTTAAGATGCCCAGGGAAAGTTTTTTTCAAATTTGGAATGCAACAGGTTTATTATATTCAAGCACCGCCGAGCAAAATATGGCTGGGGATGAAATGTCCTATTACTGACAAGGATTGGATTGAAGTGGAGCAAGTTACTGCGCATATGGAATTGGCGCAACACAATTATTGTTTTCATAACTTTTTTAATCCAGTAACAGGCTACTCAGAAATCAGGAATCTTTTTTTGATTTTCTTTATTATTTTGACCATATATAGGTTAACCAGATGGGTACAAGATCTACATAGGATATACTATATATAGCTGCATGTTTGTAAATAAGATTAAAATAACTTTACTTATTTTTAATTACATAATGTATAGTATTTTAAATCAAATCGGTTTGTCCTCACGTAGTTTTGAGTTGGACATTGTCGCTAACTTCATGTAGTACCTGACAACATGGTTTGATAAGTCAGTCGTTACTTCGCCTATAATGTCAACTTTTTTTGGCGTCCTTTTTTCCTATTCTATTTCTGTAATCTTGTAATTTAAGGAACATCTTAAGACAACTGTACACTGATTTTCATTCTCCTCTCACTCAATTGTTAAAATATAAATCTATATACAAATTTCCTGACTTGGAAATTCTCGCATTTGTTTACTACAACGGTACCTAATCTCTTTCGGTAAATTATAGATTTCTTATCTATTGCCGTATGGCGATACACACGCTGACGTCACCTACTGATCTTAATGTGCCAACCAGAAGCACATTGATTCTTTTAACGAAAGATTCCTTTGTTTCACTCGATACTTACTTGAGCGACAAAAACAATGTTTGTAAAACGTATGGTCTCCTATTCACTGAATACGACCAAATGACTCCCTCAAGACAAGGTATCTGTCCTTTTATCTGCATTACAGAGGAGTATGTCTTTCTTGAGGGGTCTATAATTCTAAGCGGAGCTTTCTCTTGAATGTAAACAGCAAAGTGGGCTTTGGACATCGTTTAGAAGTTTTAGATAGCCGACTAGGAAAGTTAGTATATTTGCAAGCCTTTTCCTAGATCTTATATCCTCTCGGTCGCATGAGATTTTAGCACATTTTTTCCTAAATTGATCAGACTTAACAAATGGAGCGACGCGCTTCAATTTTGTTATGCAAAACGACATATCTAGCAATTAAAGCTGCTGCATTTATTTATCATAGGACACGAGTTTTTTAGTGTTTGTAATTTCAAAATTGAATCAAAACAACAAAAATAGCTTTGCAGTATCATATAAGGACCTTACTGTTACTGCAGTGATTTTCTTCAGGAGATTAGATTTAATTTTCTACAGTCTGTAGGAAATTTGAAGGACCCCATCCTAGTCCATTTTCTGTGTTTAGGAGATACCAGCCGTTGCTGCTTCGTTGAAGAACCTCCACCAAGTCTCCTTCTTCAAAGGTTGCTTCTCCGTCTTCTTGAGCTATATATGCATACATAGCTCTGTAAAGCGAACTAGATTTTCGATTTTGGCTACTGCTTACTTGATACCTTGGTGAATCTAAGTCATTGCGGTAATCTGAACCACTTTCATAGTCTATCTCTGGGCCAGATTCTCTGTGCAGTGTTCTGAGGTCGTGAATTCGTGGTGGTGACCCTGCCAATGGACTTCGTCTGTTAGTTGCGGAAATCTTCCTCGGTGCTAGAATTGGGCTGCTTCGGCCTGAAGACTTTCCGCTTGGCTGTAGCCTACCATTCACGGCTGCCTCCATTTCCTTCTTGTATTGTGCCATTGATGTAACAGAATGTGAGCGAGGTATATTTGGAGAAGGAGCTGACTGCACTACTTTGTCTTCAATATGATCGAATCGAGGAAGTGTCGCACATTTTTTGATAGGAGGAGAATTTTCCTCAGGCGTAAAAACTTCAGATGCAAGAGACGAAAGACTGCCACTTGGAGATGTTCCATATCCGCTGGATAGGTCCAAAGACGTCTGATGCTGTGCCCATTGCGGGATCTCCCCTGAGGCGGGTCGAGAAGAGGAATTTGATTTTGAACGTGGTGGCATTCTCTTTGTAACAGTTGGTGTCATTGGTCTTGCTGGTACTGATATCGCGCGATCTTTCTTTTCTGTTGTGTAGGGCTCTTGATCTTCTGGTATCGTTGTTTCATGGATTTCAGGATTGGAATTTCTCTTCGGTTTTTTTCTGACTGTTTTCTTAACCTAAAATTGATAAAAGTAAAAAATATTTTACCACTCGTCGACATTTCGTAGCTAAAGTGCTAACAACACGCAGGTTTGTCGGGCTCTCAAGCATCTTTCTCTGCTCATTTGTTCGCTCTAGTCTCACGGTGACAGCTTTCTCTACTGAAGTGAAAAAGGACCCTTAGCAGTCTTATTTTAAGCAGTGGCATATACGCTCAAGGTCTTGTACTGATCAAAAGCAACGATACTGATCGTCAAGGCCTTGAAAAGCGATATTTAAATTTCTTCAGGAATTATTGCTCAATATATATCAGAAACCATATCAAACACTCGGCAAGTGTTTCATCTGATATCCAGACAGCTTTGAGTCGATTTCAAAACGCGCCTGTACCTTCGTTGGTTCACGCGACTTGACGGTGTTGAAAAATCAGGTGAAACATTTTCTCTTGTGCTTGATAATAATTGGTCCTTGAAAGACCTCTTACCGTGTCCCGCCTTGCGGGAGGTGTCCTCATAATTGGCTTTCCATCGGCATCTTCAGAATCTGTAATTGATTTAAAGATATTTAGGTAAGTCATTGAACTGATATAATCTCATATCAAAAGGAATTAGAACATGATATTCAGTGTAACTTTCGCAGAATTTCTTTACTTCTACTGGAACGTCATTACTTAAAAATACTGACGTCCTCAGACCCATCTTAGGGTACCGTGCCTCGCGAAAATTGAACCAAGGACACCTCATTCGGTTACTGATATAATAGCTCAATTTCTGTCACTTTTGAACTTGGTAAGATCCTTACCTAAATGTAACTATTTGGATAATAACAGACTAATGTCAGGTTGGAGAAATGAATCTAAGAATCGTAAATTGTCATAATTTACCTCCATTAAAGGAAACGATATCCAATACGTCCATTTTTCCATTGGATGTAGGGGAGGAATCACCTCCAGATACTTTTCTCAGAAACATGGCAGGCGCCCACCCTTGGTCGCCCCGATAACTAAAACGGAGTAGAAAAGAACGTAAAGTGACATAAGCGAGGAGTACACATATTTGAGTTACTATTAGCTATGCTCTCCTTTTCTGCACCCAGGGATTGTCACATTGACGATCATTTTGATGGAGCCTGCGTGTCTCCAGACTATGACAGCGGGGTTTTTGGCTATAGTAAGACCAACCATGCCGCATTGGCAAAGACAGTCCAGGTGACTAAGACTTCTGCAAATTGAGAGTTTGTTTGGTAAGGAGCAAATTTCTCAAAACTCAGAAAATACGGAAACCGAAAATACTGCCGTGTTAGTTCCTTCTCTACTCCTATGTGGGCAAAATGGAACTGTTCAAAGATTTTTTGCTTTGGAAGAAATGTTAGAAGAAACCTTATTTTCGTGTACCTGACAAGCCACCATCCATCCAAAGTTTTTTCCACAACTTTCAACATAACACCAACATCGAAAGAAAGTTCATCTTCAGCACTAGCTTTGTAGCTCTGCACAGATTGGTACACCTCCTCTGCAGAAGATGAAAATAAACATGAATGTCTCCAATAATCTATTTGATAATTAGTACAATACCACGCCGTTATTTGAACCACCTAAGGGCGATCGAATCTCTTCGTATTGACGACGTGGTTGTGTTGAAGAGGTTTCTGTTGAGAAAATGAATAAGTGGCTCTTTGTATTCAGTTCACAGGTGGTCTAATAAGGCGGTGGTCTTGTTAGTGAATACAGTAGGGTTCCGCTTCACAGAAGACTCTTGCCAATACTCATCTGTTGTATGGTTTGGTTCAAACATGTAAAAAATCCGTGTTCCTTATTCAAAATTTATGTGCAATCGGCTTACCTTGACCAGGTGCGTAGGTTTTGGAGGAAGTGATCTCTGCCCCATCATCAGTTGGCTCCAGATGTGACGCAGGAGCCCAGCCTAACTCGCCTTCACGGTCAACTAACCACCAACCTTAAAAAAAAAGGTTCAAATAGTTGTTATGATGTAACCTGCATGGTTTAAAGAGATAGCAAACGCTGAGTTTTGAAAACTATGAAATGCTGAAGGACCTGATAGGCAGCTAATACTTCACGCCACTACTGTTTTTAACCTGCAGTATGGTTATCTAACATTGGGGATCAAATTTTATTGCGTACTTTGTTGGCAGAAAGCAATTTTATGTTAATACGATTATTATTTAAAGAGCAATTTCAGTTCTTTGAAATCCTGATGTGAAAATTTGTTGGTGTATTTTAGGCCTTAACAGTAAGATTTGCGGGGGGCATTACCAGTGATATTTCAAATTGTCCCCATGAACTTTTTCAAATATCACTCGTGGTATTTAAACCCCCCAGTAAGCTTGCAACAACTTAGAGCAAAACCACTTAACAACAAACCCCCACTCATCAAAAGTATATGCAAACAATTCCATGATATTAGAATTCAAGTGTGTTGGAAGAATTCGTCAAAAGTAAAGTTTTGCAAGTTAAAAATTGTTAATGGTGTTTGTGGCATTCTCACCCAATTCATTTCTTTCGACGACGTCAACGGTGTCTCCAGCAGTCAGAGAAATATCGTTCCTGTTCTTCTTTTGGTAGTCAGCAATGACTATATACTGTTCAAATACCACAGGTCCTGATATCGAAACATTGTCGCTGTCGTCACCTGTAATACGGAAATACTGTTATTTCCTTTTCGTTTTTATGGATGAGTGAATGTAGAAGCTATCCAAATTTTGATCGAATAAAACAACTAGAAATCACTTAGATCCGACTCACCTTCTTTGTTCTTGGAAGCAGCCTTTTCATTTCTGAGAAAGAAGCAAGAATGAATTATAACTCTACAGAAATTTAATAATTAAGATCTAGTCTAACAACTTTGCCTTTGTGCTAAAAATGGCTTGCTCATTACATTTCAGATCTTTCTTTGTGTGAGTTAAGCGCTCCACTCCTGCGGTTTTTGTCTGGTGGGAGTTCTTCTAAAAATAAAGCTTGTGGTAGAATTCAGTGTCTTTGTTATGTTGGTGAAATCATATAACGAATGTTACTTACGTTCCATGAGGAAGAACGTCACTAGAACGAGGCTTGCAGAAATGCATGACAGCTTGACACTTAGAAATTTTGTCAGGTGAGTTGACAAGTTCCTAATCAAGAATAGAAAAGAAAATTTGAACCAATCAAAAACCACCTTGAAAATAAACTCACAAAAAATTTGTCTCGCCGATTACATGAAAGGTTTGCAGGTGCTGACTCATTTAAACGACTTACGTGGCAAAATTGATTCATGAATTGCCTTCTTTTACATGTTCCATCCTTAAAGCAAAACTGACAATTTTCTGTAAATTTCCTTCCTAAAAAACAAATGGAAACAAAATATTAATACTTCAAGTTTACCTTAATCTTTCAACAGTCAATTTTTGGTCTTTTTGTTGCAATACCAATTCTCACCTTTAAGCACTGGGATTTCTTTTCCAATAGCAGATGGGAATTCTTTCTTGAGACTTTCCTAAAGGAGGAATAATATGTGTAGGTACATTCTATAATTTTAGGGACGTCTAAGTTAAAGTCAGGTAGAGGTTTTCTTATTTTTATCTTTTTCTTATCATGATGTAAAGCGCATTGGAGACAGAAATGCGCTCAATAAGCACCTAGTATATTATTATTATTATTATTATTGTTAATTCTTTTCTTCAATTCCTTTGGTTATAAAAATTTTTTAATAAAAGCTATTGGATACTAACATAAGGTCATCAATGTAAATTTTTTCTTCAAATTTCGTTAATCGTACAGGTCTTGAGAGTGATTCAATGAGAAACGATGCAGATAAGAAAGATCAATTTATATTTGCAAATATTTTTCAGTAATGATATTGATAACTTGTGGAGGTTGGGGGAAGCCAGGGCTTTGTAAACGCAAACCGCCGTAGTATTGCTTTTGATGTGTTTTCTCGGTATTTATAATGAAGTAGACCATGAGAAACCTGTCGGTTTAGAATAGTTTCTCTGCGTACATAACGTTCTCGTGGAAAAACACGCAAAGGTGACTTCTTTTGAAAAGGGACTGCATGAAGTAACATATAAAGATGATTTTACCTGTAGAAAGAAGAAGTCGCTACATTGTCTGTATATGATGTTGATAGCTCCATCTGACCATACAACCTTTAGAATATAAACCTAGAGAACAAAAATCAAAGTAAGTCCGGCCTTCTAATTAAGAAACTGAGATTTTGTATTAATTAGGTTTGTACCCTATCTTTTCCAGCATTTCGAATCATTCTGACACATGAATGGAGAGTACTTCTATTTGATAACTTTTTGAAAAACAAATGGAGAAAAACCAAGAATGGAAAAATTCTGATTGTGAACACTTGCCAGTACTTACGTAATTTTTATCTGGATTTTTTCTCTTTTGGATTCCTTCAACCATCAAAAACTTGACGCGACGATTCATTTCGCCTGATACCTTCTGCGTCCCTTCTTCACTGCTTCGATTCAAAGACTATGTGAGAGAAGAAGAACATGTGTAATTTTTTTATGAATAGACACCTACCCCGCCGCTTACCGCAAATGGCTTACTCATACAGGAAATGGCGTCAACCAACAAATAATTTACTTTTGCAATCTCATGATGGCCATAGTGTGATAGTTATTAGGAAGCTTTGTTTATTTGTTTTTTTTTCTTTTAATGACACTATGGCGACTTGTATCAGCAATTAGTAAGCCACTTAAACTATCATTTTCCGCAAGAGGCATGTTATCAAATTAACACTTTATTATACTGAAAATCTGGCCCAATCTACTTCTTTATTCACTTCTGGTTTGACATGCCCTAGAAGTTTCATAGCATTAACGGACGAACATTAAGAGAGAACAAACCATCAATTTCGTGACTGTGTTCTCTGCTTTGTCCTTTGATATTTATCATTCATTCCTTAAATGCAATATAATAACTCGCTATCTTATCAGCATATTTGCCAACGAAACAATCAACCCCCACAGGGCGAGATCATTACGATTTCGTGACTAAGCAGCGAATACTTTTCGTTTTAATTGTAGGTCTACTTCGTTTACTCGTTTAAGTAAGTTGTGTTTATTTATATCTTTTGTTCATAATTGCCAAATATATAAATAAAAGCTAAGGGAGAATCACTCAATTTAAGGCCAGGTACATCATTGAGATATAATGAAGTATCAACATTTCAATTTTTGAGTAATGCTGCTTTATTTGTTAGCAATGGTATACTAAATTTATGCAAAAGAAAAAACCGCTTTGAGTGAGAATAAATACATTTTACGGAAGTTTTAACCACATTGACGTAAAAGAAAACCGCGCGGCGTCTGAATTAGGCGTAACGGGTCGCCTCTACACGCGTCTTTTTACTAAACAAGGAAAGGCTGTTCTAAAATAAGTAACAAAAAAATTCTTTGAACAGTTAATCTTAGTACCTTCTGATTTTCTTGGATACTGGAAATTTTTTGTTCCTCTTTGTCGATATTGCTTTGTTCGTCTATTTGGATGGATTGTTCTTGACTCTCCACATCTTGGGACTGCTCTAGATTTACCGGAGATGTCGATCTGGATAACTGAACTGGTTTAAGGTAAGCACTCGGCGCCCACCCCTCTCCAAGTTCGTTCTTAACATACCACCATCCGCTTGCCTCCTTCTGCAGTACATCGACCTCTTCTCCGCCTTCAAGTGACACCTCACCGTCCTCCTCTGCAGCAAATGAGGAAACTGCCACATACTTAATCCTTTTCGGGCTTCTTCGTCCGTCTTGGGTTGACATCTTTCTGGTACGAGATTCCTCCTGCTTATATTCAGTTTGTTCAACTTCACCAGAGTTTTCATCACCCGGAGAATTCTCATTACCGTTTGATTGCTGCTTGTCTATCTCAAGAGACTGATAGTCAGGTGCAGTGACAGTGCTACGGGAACGTGTCTTTTCTGGTTTATTTTCTACGGTCTCCTTTAGTATGTCTGCAACGCCAACAGCAACGCTGAACGGCCTATGTCTCAATCCTGGTCTAGGAGAACCAGTCGCAGTGGAAGCCGGTCTCTCTGTCCCAGGTAATGGTTTACTTGGACGCCTTTCATTAAGTTGTTTCAACAGATTGTCTCTACTTTCTCTGCTAAGTAAATGCATGTCTTCCGGCATCCATGACGGATCGTTGTATCCAATTTTCTTTCGACTTGGCACTGGGCTCTTATCAGGTATAGTATAGAGGCCTCGACCTATTAAAGAGAGATTACCGCATTTTCTTGTGAGAAACGACCTTGCTGTGGATTGGTTCTCTTTCTCTCGATCTCTAACACAATCAAGACGGTTTTACATACCACTTAGCAATTCCGCCGCTTTATGGCTCTTCTTTAACTCCTCTTCATACTCATTACTAGATATGAAAATTGATAAAGAAAAAGTTGTCTCGTTAGCAATTATCCAGTCAAATATATGGTCTTGTAGGCGACTTATCAAGTTTGAAATACCAAGGATCGCCGTGTTCAAGAGATGGATAACTTAAACTCATTGCCAAGCAAACAATCTTTTCCCGCTTAAGAACGTGTGAATAAACTTGAAGTAGTGTTACATTACGCTGTCCTTTATGCTGACTAAGAGAACTAGGCTAGAGTTAACTACGTATAGCAAAATGTATCGGCAAGCTATACCTGGGTTAGCTCTAATCTGTGAAATCAGATGTTAATTAAACGTAACCTCACCGTTCAGAAGTTTCTTGCTGTTCCATGAAGGCACCAAAAAATTTCATGACTGCTTCTGATTCTCTTACCACAGTTGGAAGGGTCAACATTTCCTAGAAAAATAAAGCACTTTGTTGGTTCCTCATTGGCTGTTATGCTTCAAAGCCCTTTTTAGACTGTCAGACATCGTTGGGGCCAGATATGTTTCAGTCCAAAAAATGACCACCACACACAGGCCCTATGTAAAATGCGTTCCTAAATAACTAGGTGTACTGAGTTATTCCTCTTGGAAATGAGCAATGATGTGCCTTCTAACACCTTAAACTAAGCCAGACAGTTAAACATCATCGTTAATCCAAACTATTTACCCTCATAAACTCGTCTATTCTTCCCATCTTCTTCAAATCATTGTCTTTGAACATAATTCTCGAGAGAGGCGAATTGAGTTCTGCAAAAAAAAGCAGCTAAAGGATTCAGTTACATCGCTCACGGGCACAAGGAAAAAAAATAGAATTTAATAGATATGCCGTACTTAATTTCATTTAGAACGCTTCAACCACATTTCGTTGAGGCCAACGCAAGAGAGCTGGGCTCCAATTTAAGTGTTGATGTTGATAGACTCTTATTGTAGTCCATTTGCAGATGTGATACTAACGGCAGTATCTTTTCGTCAGTTTTCTTAAGACTCTGAGTTTTGGCTGGTAGGGAAACGAATCCGTACCTTTCGCCCCGAAATTGTACCCAACTAATTGAGCCGCCAATCAGTTCGTGTGTGACATAGAGCCTTCTTTTTTTTTTGTCATTGCTGTCTGAAGTTATTGCCCCATAGTAAACCTTCAAGCTATCTGTTACCTTACATACCTGGTAAGCTGGAGACAAGGGTCCTAGACGTCTTCCTCGAATAGCCACCTTTTTGCTTTAATAAGTCATAAACTGTTACCTACAATTGGAAACTCAACATTAAAGTTCAAAACATGTCCAAGTAGTTTTGTGGCGTTCCAGGCTTAGCTGGCAGCAAGACCAAACAGCAAAATGCGTCCACATTTTGCAGTTTTCCGGGACGGCAAAGCTGCATTTAGTTTTCACTATTAAATAGCGAAGTTAGAAAACGAGAGTCAGACGTAAAATAATAGAAACAAAAATTTTAGAAGAAAGCAACATTGAAATGTTTCCGGGTTTGCGTTCAAGCTTAGGAAAGCATGAAAATGACATTTCTTCAATTAGTGACACAGGCGACTTCGAGAAAAACTGATCCGAGATTTCCTAACAGAGGTTGAAGTTCTGATTGCTCCGCTACCATTGAGCAACAGGGGCCCGTTGTTTGACATGTAATGTCAGACGTACGCATGGTAGTAAAAAAAGAACAACAACAACAAACAAAACAGAGAGTTTAAATTTGTCTGGGCTGAACGTCATTGAGGCGTTAGCTCCTGCGTCTAACCTGCGTAGCGAGAGTTTACGTGCAGTTTCGGAGCAAAGAACGAGGAACTAGAGTCAAAGACCGCGCGAAAACTGGCGCGAGTAAAAGAGCAGGGAGGGGGTGGGACGAAACGTAAGGGTTTCTTTCCTTCCCCTCCCCATCACCCTCTTTCATTTTCTGGCTCTCGTTACATTTTTCGCTCGGCCAAAACCGAAAATCGCGTTCCTTGGTCTTTTTTTTCTCCGAGACCCAAAGGAAGCGCTTGCTACGAAAACTAGTCTACGTCCGACGTTAGATTTAGACAAGGCCGTCAAATGAGGTTCACGTGAGAAACATCCTGGATACTGCTGGACTCGCATTCTGATTGGCCCTTGCCGGACATTGTACTACTTGGCACGTGTTGCATTCTTTGTTCTATGCCCCCAAGAAACAAATCGTAAAAGTTTCATTTCAACCCTGGTCTAATCCGTCATGCATGTAAGTAAGTTTCCTAAGTACATGCGAAATGTTTTAATATAGGTACATAAGAAAGACCTAAGCTGGCTATATCGTTGACTTTTGACTGACGTTGCATGTTGCCTGATGTTATCATACAGCTGTATATTGCATAACTTATGTATGGCTGACTGAACTAGATATCTCTGCAGTTCAATTAACTTTGATTTAATCCGGAGCAATTAACATTACTAGGTAAAGCTTGCAACGATGAAATAAGTGAGCAAAGATTGCGTTAAACTGTTTTCTTCCTGAAGGTAACGAGATTTTTTTCAAATAATCAAAATAAACAAACAATTAAAAAGCATTGAATTCTAGGTGTTTAACAATGATCAAGATTTAGCATAATCGCCCGTTAATAAATATCATGCAAGTACTCGGAAAACAAATACAAAAACCTGCCAGAGAAGTAAACAAACCTGCAAATCAACAAATTCTTCGTATTTCTTGCGTAGCAGGGTTTTGCTGCCATCCGAGAACATGACTGTGATTTTATATGCCTAAAGGACATGAAAGAATTGTATAAGTTGATGTAAGTCCGTGGCATCCGACTTCGCCTGTTTAATGGGGAAAATATACAAATCAAAAGCTGTTTCCGCTAACTAATGTTAAAAGGCACTACCTAACCTTGCAATAGCGCTCAGGGTAAAGGAACTTGTTCTGATTACTTGAAAATGAATGGTTTCGTTTACGAAAATTTATTTCCAAATACAGGGATGTCTATTACTAACATTTTTTGCCATGCAACAGAAAAAATAAACAAAACAAAACAAAAAGATTATTAGTTTGTCAGCTCAATGTTTTGGTTTTTCAGTTTATAGTTACCCTACGCGTTGTTGTTTTCGATATGCTATAAAGAAAAGATCATTGATGTTTAAAACTTTCTCGGGGGAATTGGTGTTTGTGGCTTGGCGAGGTACGGGTCAATCAACCAAAAAAGCTTGGATATTACAATATTTCAACCACTAACCTCATTGTCTTTTCCGTCCTTCGACGGCAAAGTTCCAGAAACAGAAGCGGTGAGCAGTGTCTTCATGGTGTCACCGTAGAAAATGTCTTCTGTCCTCTAAACGCCGTTCTTTATTGCCGCACTTTCTATTGCGTGGGTGTAAAACAACCTACGTCAGACCAAAGATAATTATAACCGTTCCAGTGTTATGTGTCGCACGAATGCTGGAATTATTCGCGTCACGAAACGAGAACCTTTATATTGAGCCGATCGTACAAACAATGCAAAATGGGTACAATTAATCAACGAAAACGAAACAAGCCAAGTTGCAGTCAGGCGTGGAATACTTTCATTGGCTTCGAGACTGTTAAGCGTGCAATAAATCAGTTCAAAACTCGATGATTGTGCGGTTTTAGAAATTGGACGAGCGTTTTTTTAGCAGTCTTAAATTAAGGTTGGCCACTGAGAGCCTTCTTGTGATAGAGAGGCCGCCCTGCAACTAGTATGACGTACTTCACAATTTCTTCCGGTATTCGCGACACAAAAGATTCCACAATTCCAACATTAAAATTTATAAGACATATAATTAAGCACAAAAATGTAAAACTAAGATTTATAAAACTCTTCAAATAATTTTCAACACTCGGGGGGGTATGAATAACACATTTTATGATATTTCATAGTATTGACTCGCATTTAAGTTCTCTCCTGATCAGGCCGAGTATCGTCAAATTATATCGACTTATATTACTTCTCGAGTCGAATGGGCTAATGGGGTAATCGTGTGCCTGTGACTAACACGACCGCCTTAGTTTCAGAGTTTTAAAACATTGCCGTGTATTCCTTCTACCCAAATATAAATTGTATACTGAAAATCATGTACGAATGTCATTTCTATCAACCACTTTGCTTCAGCTTTCTCCTCAAACCATGACATGTCTATTATGTAAAATTCTGGTGTTGGATTTGTTTCTTAACTACGGAAAATATAAACTAAAAAAAATTACCAGACCAGTGCGAGAATATTGTGAATCATCGAAGTTAACTAATCCTGTTTGAGTTTCTTTGTTGTTAAATTTTTGCAAAGCATCAGGTCTTCCATCGCCCGAAGATTATCAAGAAAACAAAGGTAAAAAGATTAACTTCCCAAGGACACTATCTTTTGTCCACTACACAGAGATTAAACCGAGTAAACAAGTAGCATTATCTCTTTCTGATACAGCTTCCCACTTTAGGTAACAGCTTCTTTGTAACAAAGGTTAAACTTCAGTTGAAACGGTGGTGGCACTCGTGAATTGTCGACTAAGGAAAAGATATGACAGGTGTACTGATCACTGCTGTAGTCATTTCAGCAAGCTAAGGCAACAGTATATTGGCGCCAGTCTTTATATTCATCTCTGTTCTAATAGACTAAGACTTAAGACCAGAGTTATTGCTTAAAGTTTTTTGAGGTTATTCTATGCTCAGAGTAACGAATTATGTCTCTCTGAGAAACAATTATCATACTCAGCGTAACAACCATGGAAATTACAACCCACGCTCCATGACGTACTCAGTTATGCACGTAATTACCCCTCCCTAATGAAAAGAGCTAGGAAATAAGTGCTGAGGAACATAGTTTTGTCGTCTTTACCATATATCAGAAATGTAAAACTACATAAAATACTTTCATAATTTAATCAATGGGAAATATAACTGAACAAAAAGTTTCCCTTAATAATGATTGTAATCCATTTTGGCATCTACTGGGCAGGAATTATTGAAAATTCATTTTTTCACGTACTCAGTTAATTTTTCCAAGGCGGAAAAAATTCTCCCCGAGATAAAAAACGCAAGCGCAGCCGAAACGCAAGTCTCGATCGCTGCTGAAGTACCTAACAAAAAGTAACATGAGAGCTTCTTCTCCGACCAAACCACTTTTCCTGAATTATTAAGTATAAAAAAACGTATTAGTGTTGCGTGCAGGCACTTCATTGGCAAAGATTGTTTTTGCAACAACCTACTATTGTGGCACTTCTGCACGTAGAACAAAGACACTGAAATTAACCTGGAAGGCACTCACATAGAGTTTTATTGTTTAACAACGGTAAAACTGTTTTCCAGTTGTCTTTTAGGTAAATGTTACAAGCAATATCATAACTTAGGTCATGAAAACAAATAAACAAGGCTTCTGAAATTATCAAAGTGTTCAAGTTCCATCTTTTGCGGGATAGTGATTCCCGGTCACTTATGCGCAATCGGAAAGATTCTGACAGCTGCTTTCGCGGTTTAGTTTCTGGTAATAAACCTGGAATTTTTTCAAAGATTTTAATGTGAAACAATCTTGTCAAATGCAAGGTACCATTATAGCGAAGAAATATTTATAATTTTTGAAAGACGACAATAGGAACTTAATCCTTTTATCCTGTCAAAAACAATATTTTGGAAACGAATGACAACTCAAAGAAGCACAAAACATTCCGGGAGCTTCTTATTTTCGCCGTTCAATATTACTGATTAAGCAATATATTTTGAATTTGTTCAAAACGAGCAAGCAGCAGACAAAGAAACACAAAAACAGAGAGATAACAAACAAGCAAAGCACAAAGAAAGAGTATTTTTTGTTGTGATTTTGTTAAGCTCAATGTTTTACTTTCGTTCTCCAAATATATCGAAGCAAGTGAAATGATTCGAACAGGTATCATTCAACGATGATATACAGTGCTTTTTATAGAGCCATTATGTCTTTTCTATATTTTTTGTTTCCCCTCCCCCCCCACCCTCATCGAAAAAAAAAAATTCATCTTTCCCGAACACTAAAATGATCTCAGTTGGGTATGTGGTTATCATTATTATATTTGTTTTTTACTTTTTTAAAAAAAGGGTTGTTTGTTTCAAGAAGCGAAACTACTAATCCAGGGAAAACAAACTGTCTAAAGGTTTTAATTTCATTTTACTGATAAAGAAACAGTTGTAAGAAATTACTCTGCAAAGCCTAAAATGTAAAGCGTAAGCAAAAGTTTAGTCCAGCTATAACGTAAAAAATCTGTACGTGAGTGCATGCATGTGTGCGGAGTTGCTGTGTCATTTCGGAACCCCAAAGCCTCAATGACTATTTCATTGATCTATTGTCCTTACGTCACATTTTCTATTATGATCTATAACAAGTGAAAACCAAAGCTTATTATCTCTCAACCCTTAATTAAACTCCCCTCTTCACAAAGAAGCATATACTCTCGTGTTCTGTAATCTTTTTAATGTCAAGACACGTGCGTTTAAGGCACGTGTTGCGGTGCATGGTCTTCTATTTCAGCGCGCGCGGCTTACTGTGTCCTGTCCCGGGGGTACTGCCCTGTCCTTACTGTTTCCAGGCTTAATCCGTTTTAAACTGGTTACGCTAGTCGATTTTTTACAGACTGGCTAACTTCGGTATCAACTCCGGAAATTGTTCACTGAGTTCCTTAATTACCCTTGAAAAGCGGACCTCTATTTAGCGGTTACCTTAAGCAACGTCCGGTTGCTCAGCAAGTTTGCAAAAAATTTTCATCGCCTTGAAAATGGTTTTAACTTAAACCAAAATGTCAGCAATGACTTCTCTTTAGATTTGTTGTGTTACTAACCAAGGGGAATGTGTTCTTCGGAGTTGTTTTCATCCGACATTTTTCAACTGAGTTTTTGTACTTCCTTTTGCTCCGTTAAAAGTCATTTTATTTTTGTGTTAAGAAGTACCATTAACATCACTTGACCCATTTAGACATGGCCTGCTTCCGGCGGTTTTAACATCAGTCTGTAATAGGAAACGGGTAAAAGAACCTCTCATTGCGAACCTCGTCTTGCGACTTGCATCACCATCTTCTCTTCCAGCTTAAGGCTTTTAGACAGCATAACACTCAATCTCAACCATTCAACCAAGCTTTATGACACTAATGGCGATTTCTATTTGTTATAATTGGCCGGTCTGACCAGTCCAGTCGTAAAGAGAATTCCACTATTATTCAGGACTATCAAATGCTATGCTCGGCAGTGGTGAGTTTTTAGGGAAAATTTTGAGAAAAGGCCAACTTTTTACTTTCAAAATGACTCGTCTGGCCTGCCAATTCTGACTTTTGGTAAGCGCACTAAGTTGACGAATTTAATGACACCTGCAGCACAAACCGGCCTGATAAGATGGTATCATTAAAATACTATTCCTTTGAAACTACCGGATTATAGCTGAGGTACGATGGGTTAGTCTATTCAACAACTTTTAAGTGATAAATAAGCGCTTTCTGATAAATAACAGTGATTATCTGACTGTTGGCCAGCGTCCTGGCCGAAAAATGAATCTACGAAAGTTTCCTTCCTGAAAACCGACTAAACATTCAAAAGAAAAAGTAGATGAAAGAAAGTCATGGGCAGGCAGTATGATTATATAAGCACCATAAATCTCATTCCACCTTGACAAAAAAGCATCTCTAGCTTAATTGTCTTTCAGTTTAACAAGTCCGAAAGTATTAAATGGAATATATAGTTTTCATAGTTTTAGTGACGCCGTACTAGTTCGAGGGAAAGAAAAGCAAATTAATTAAATTACAGAAAATGTTTGGGATTTCTACGACTTTTGAAGTTTTAAAATTTAAATTTTTAGAGTAGCAAAGGAATAAAAAAACTTTGAATCTTCCCAACTAAACAGGAAAATGGAGCAGAGCGCTTGCAATGAGCGCTCTAAAGGCGCTTCGTTTCTTAGATGTCTCAAACAAATTTGCATATCAATTATATTTACATTTTTCCACAAAATAACAGTTTACCAATAACGGCCTCAGTTATTTGTGAAATTCCAGCAGTTTTATACAAAACTTTTTCAGAGTTATTTATACTAGCTGGAGGCTATAGGGTCACAAAACTCGCTGCTGAGATAAAATTTGTAAAGTGGATATTGACCCTAGTTGAAAAGTATTTGGAAGTTTGTGAAAACCACCGCTATTTGGCGTAGTTTGATGTTGCGTGAGAAGACTAAAGGACAATCGAAAGTTTTTGACATGTCTGTAAATTTGTGTTACATCGTGTAGATAAGCGGTAGGAATCACCTCTAACAATTAACAATTGAAAGTAATTTGCAAGCGAGTTTATGCATTAAACGGCTACCAGTAATTTGTTAGACCCGTGTAGATCAAAGTCTTAGCGAGCGAACTCAGGAAAGGACGTTTTGCTTATCATCGCGGCATAAGTTAAGAGAGCAATAAGCAGTGCTAGTTATTTCTTGCTAGTTAATGTGTAAAGTTTGTTGTCTTAACTTTGTTGCAACAACTATGATAGGCCAATAATACCACAATAAATACTTAACATTACATATCAACAAGTTCACCAAGGCGAAGATCAAAAATTCTTACACCTGAATTCCTAAAACGAAAATTTATGATACTCGAGTAAAGAAAATAATCTCTACTGATTGTAAGAA